CTCTGATGGATGTAAGTAATGGTGGTGTGGATCTGTTGTCTGGAGAAAGACTTCTCGACCTTGAGTATGCGGATGATATTGTCTTACTGTGCGATAATCCCCAAGCCATGCAATCCGCACTTAGTCAGTTGGCCATCAGTGTCCGTAGGTATGGTATGTGCTTTGCACCCGCGAAGTGCAAAATACTTCTACAAGACTGGCAAGATCGTAATCCTGTACTCACCCTGGATGGTGAACAGATAGAAGTAGTTGAGAAGTTCGTGTATCTGGGTAGCTGCATAAGTGCTGGTGGTGGCGTGAGTGGTGAGATCAACGCATGTATAATGAAAGCCAGAGCGGCTCATGCCAATCTGGGCCACCTTTGGCGCCTTCGTGATGTTAGTCTGGCCGTAAAAGGTCGGATCTACAACGCGTCGGTGAGAGCAGTTTTGTTCTATGCTTGTGAAACCTGGCCTCTCTGAGTTGAGGTCGTTAGACGACTCTCTGTGTTCGATCATCGCTGTCTCCGAAGGATTGCTGACATTTAGTGGCAACACCATGTCAGTAATGCAGAGGTTCGGCATCGTGTGTTCGGGCACAGAGACGATAATGAAATTAGTGTCACCATCCTGAAACACCGACTTCGGTGGCTTGGACATGTTCTTCGAATGTCGTCCCAGAGAATTCCACGTCGTGCATTATTTGCCGACTGTGGGACTGGTTGGAAGAAGCGGAGAGGTGGTCAGTGCATGACATGGTGTCGTGGGATGAAAGGAAGCTGCAAACGGCTGGCTTGTGTTGGTCCCTCACGACTCCCTGGTTGGGGTCTGAGAGATGGTGCTACACAGTGGCTAGAGACGTTATCAGATATGACTCAGAATAGAAGCCAGTGGCGATCCTGCTGTAACCTTCTTTTACTTTCTTCATAAAAAGTGGTTCTGTCTCCCTTACCTGAAAGATTTCTTCTGATTGTACCCTTCTGTTCCCCTACTATTACTATTATTATTACACTACTTTACACCAATCTCTTCGTTATTGTTTTTTCAATATTTTTTTACGTTCCCCACTTTTTTCTTTTTCTTCTTCTTAAATTCTCATTGTTTTGTGTGGCGCATATATATTTGGCGCAATCCTGTACCAATATATATGTGTTCAAATAAATAATAAATAAGTCTTTTTAATCCGTTGAATAGTAATTTAGGGATTTTTGGGATAAGTTTCTCTGCAAACGCTAATTATTGCTTCAGGACTCGTCCGTTCATAGGGAGAGAAGTAGTGGATCGTGTTATCCAATCCACTTATTTTGGAGGCCTCATCAACCCTGATGCGTTGATTTCTGGTGACATTTTAAGATAAATGAATTGCTCACTTGTTTTCCAGTTTTCTCCATTTACGTTACAAGTAAAATGTCCTCGTGTTTCTCCAATTCAGAGTATACCGCACAGCGGTTTAAACTGTACTAATTTATGGGAGTGAAATATGGACTATAAAAGTTGAGGGTATGTATAGATTACTAGTATTTGAAGCAAATATAATAAGTTGATTGATAAGGCAGTAAACTTTGATGAGCTGAGGCCATGTCTACTGAGCTGTGTAGTAAAATGTGGAATTCCTGTTTGGAGCTTCCGCGGTACTCACAATCTACGGTTGAATCTTTTCCAGGGTTTATCTCAAAACTGGGCTCAGTGACGTAGTTGGATCCTTTCTTAAGCTGAACACCATTCCATACTTTTGTTGCACTATCTCATCCTTCCTATTTAAGTTATACTTTATGCTTCACTTTCCAATGCAGTAGATATAGTCATTTTGTCTTTTGTTTATTTTTTGGTGGTTCCCTTTCTTATTATGCTGATACAAAATTTTGCAACAGGAACCAATACATATCCAGACGAAGTCCTACATTATTGGTAACTGACAGACTATTTTACCGTTTTCTGCTTACTATTATATCTTAATCATAATTAAGTTCCCTATGAAAATAGTGCAAACGTTTTAGTAACTTGTCTTTTGAATCTGTATTTTAAGTTGTAATACACCTGTTCAGGTTGTAATATTCCAGTTGATAGAGAATTCAAGTTCTGACCCCTTACTACCTTGTGTGAATTGTTTCTCCAAATCTCGCTTTTCATTCGTTGATTATACGGCGTCACCCATGATAGTCAATAACCATAATCTGTGTAGAATCAGTCAATTACATCATTGAATAAAATATTTATCGATTTCATTTGTTATAATATTGTTCCCCAGTTATACATAATAAAGAATTAACTAACTAGTACTACACATTGAGGTAACTAATTTTTGCAATTATCCTAACAACTTGTGTGCAAATTGAAATGTTTTCACTCAGATATTCTATGTCAAATTTTTAATAATCAACCTTTGTTTGTATCTTCTACTAGCTACAAATGCTTGTTTAACAACTGCTGAAATGTATAGTCTACATTTTTTAAGTTACATTTCTCAGGTATTAAATACTGAAGTACAACAAATTGATGACTTAGGATTAACTCAGAAATTTAAATCTATTTTTTAATGGTTTATAATTTCATCATGCAAACCAGACTTCATAGTTTAGCAGTTATACTAAGTAATGAATTAGAATTCAGTCATACGGTATGTTTCCAAATACTCTGAAATTTCTAATATAAGCGGGGTTCGCATTCTCTTTTAGATAAGAATGCAAAGCATTCGTTGAATATGACTTAGGAGGGACCAATATAACCATTTTTAAAAGAACAATTAAACTGATGGATGCGTTATTTGATGATCTATGAAAGATAAATTGCCGTTTTCAGCCATATCAATGTGTGCCTGCTAGTGTTCTTGGTCTTGTGGCTATGGTTATATTGGGCACACAAAAAATGCTCTTTTCTCAAGTGAGATTTATCTAATACAGCTTTATGATTTGACAGTATTTGAAAAAAAAATCATGCTTCTTAACCGATGTCAATCCAGAAAGTCATAAAATTTTCAGTTGTTAGAAATATTTGTTTAAATTACTTCGGATAATGGAGGTTACAACTGTGTATGAAGAATAAGACGCTGAGTATAGTCATATGAACTTTTATCGATAAGTATTTTCTTGATATTAAGCTTATTTTATTAATCAAAAGGGAATGAGGTTCATCTAAAGTCATTGTTAGCCGAATCTGATAAACATTCAGTCTACAGTATAGAACTACAAACTGTTTGTCGAAACCTCTTCACTCCATTCATCATTATCCCACTATATTCTTGAAAAAAGTGTGGTTATTTTATTTATGGTTATGAGTTAGTATAGCTATTTTATATAGTCTCACTGTAGTTAATATTTTGTCAAATAACAAAATATCTTGAGTCCATGATCGAAAGAAGCGACAAATTAACTATTGCGAGAACTGGCGCTACTTTCTCATTGTGGAGATTATGCGATCATTCCGTTTAGTGTGATAACTGATGTCCAGAAAAAACTGGAGGGTAAATTAGGCTTAGAGGTACATCTCTCAGAACCTCTAACCGGATTTTGTAAATGATGCCAAAGGATGAATTTGAAGCTGAATATCCTTGATTTACTACATGTTACAGAACAGATGATATGACTAACCTGTTGCTGAGTTATGCTTATGGTTGTTTCCGAATAGGATGAAGAAAAGGTATCGCCAAAGGATTTATGTACCAGAAGAGTAGGTAAGCTGGTATATATACACATTAAATCGGTCTGTCATGGGATTCTATCTTTCACATGGAGGTATATAAGAGGATAACTACAGTAGGTTAAACTGATATTTACTGTATTAAACGTTCTAGATGACTCTTCATGACAAGATAATCTATTCTGATATCATACTAAAATTGTGCTGGTATAAAATCCAATTAAGTTTATCAATTGTACTGTTTTTACTGTAAATCAGCTTTTTTATTTCGGATGTATCGATAGTTATTATTAAAAATGTAATCTGTTATGCATTTATCTTATTATAATTAAGGTTTTTTGAAATTTTTTTAAAATTAATGGATGGTGTATGAATACACTTGCTATTGAGAATATAATTGGTTCGATTTCTGTCTATAATAGTCATTAGGTGGTTTTCCATTCAAGTCAGGATGTTTCAAAGAGTAGGTAGTTTTTTTTTTAATGCTTAATATTGGGATCATTGATGTGGTACTGGTAAATTTTCAGTTCAAAATGATGTACTCATTCTAACCAGGTTTTACTGACTGATTTGGTTTAATACTCCCAAATTAGTGAAAATTCATACAGTTTCGTTCACTTCTACTTTGTAGTATTAGTTATAATGTATGATCGCTTTGAAAAATGGTCAAATAGACTAGAAGTATATATTACTGAACTACATTCAAATATGAATGATGGACATGCTTTCTCAAAACACTCTACAAATTTTTACATTTTCTTTAGAGTGATCGTCTTTTTCTTTATGCTTTTTTACTTAGTATCTTCGATTAATAAAAAATCTGCCAATATATCCTTCTTTTTCTACCTTCTTTTGTGGAGTTAATGAAGGGTTTTCAATTGATAAGACTGTTAGTTTTTTATATTGACTTGCAATCAACTCTGTGATTCTTATATTTTTCTTTTTTCTGCCTCTAAATCCAATCGTTTTCAGTTTTGATAGTTGTGTAGTATCATTCAGATGTCAGTTTCTGTGTGCGATTAAGACAATTTTAGTTTACTTGCCTATCTGAACTTTCATGTCTTGTGCATGAATTACTTGTGTTATTGTTATCATTATGTATTCTGTACTTAGTACTATAGTCATATACCAGTTATTTCAATAAACGTAAGTAGTTTCGTTGAGCATAGGCTCAGTGGTTCGAACGGTTGACGTTCAACCACCAAGTCACCCCATCAGGTTCCACACTATTTCTTCGTGGACAGCCATATAGTGTAACTAACTCACACATAAAGCTTGCCTCGAAGCCAAGGGCATGAAACTGTACTATGATATTCTTTATTGATTTCGGTGATCAAATAATTTCATTAACTGGATCGTTCATTTTTATTACTCTTTTTATTTCAGCTCAAAGGATATATCATCGTCCGCCGGTAGTCATGTTGTTCATTCATTAAAATCAAATGTAGATGGTAATTCATTAAAAACTGTATTGTTAGATGAAGATTTGAATGTTCACTTACATTCAAATGTTTTACCTAATTTGACTCCAGATTGTACAACAACAACAACACCGTCTAACATTTTGGTTAATCCATCTAGAATCAACACTTTGTCGTTTAATACATCCAGTAATCCAGTCAACTCTGTTATGGGTAATCAACATGATACTCATGTTCCTATTTCTAATGATTCAATTAAACCACCAATAAATGTCAATATTGATGTAAGCAAATTTCGAAGTATAATCTTTAAATAATTCTTATCACTTTGTAACATCGTTATTCTTAAAATCAAGTGAAGGCTGGTAATAACAGTATGTTTATTTTTCATAAATGTTCGCGAAAAATCCATTTTATCCTGATAAAGTTAGGTTTATACTTTGTAATGTAACTAATAGTCAATCATAAAAATTATGCAGGGTCTGGCACTAATCTCAAATATCAGGTTTCAACACTATAACTTAATAGAGGTGCTCTCATAACGCGATTTACTACCTTGGGTCCGGTCACTTATTAGATCTTTGGATACCCTATCAAGACCTTTCGTACTTAAATAAATTTATTATTTCAAAATACCTGATATTTAGCGTTCCATCAATTGATACCAGTTAGTAATGATAACTGTCGTCGAAGTAAACAGGTCTACACAGACACCAAATTGATCACAATCTTTTGTGTTTGTTAATAAAGTTGATTAAATCATTATTCGTAGACTTTACGGTTAAAGTACCTGCCCTACCTACTTTTGTTTTGGAAACCTTCAAAAAAGAAATGTGTTGTTCCATGACGGGTCGAATAATTTTTATTTTTATGGTCAGTTGCACAAGGAAACTTTGTTATCAATATATAAACACAATATAGACTACGAGATTAAAGGTGGAAACTTATTGAAATTTCTTGTTATTACTTGTAAATTGTAGGCAATAGTAGAATTCTGCTTCGCCTACTTCGGGTGGTTGGGTGGTGTTATTAACTTTGACACAAATAAAGAGTATATCAAATCTGACTACATAAATCTAGACTTGGTAAATGAGTTAATTTAGTTAAGTTGATTTCGAATAATACCTGTTTCCCAACTGCCTATATAAAATGTTAACTTATTTCTCTCCTAACTCCTAATGATTATTTTTGTGCAGTCAACGATTTTAGAGCCTTCTTTAACTGTGTCCAAATGAATTTATCAATGTTATTAACAAATCTACTGCTGATACGATACGTAAGAAAATGTTTTGACTATGCAAGTGTGTTAATACAATCACTAGTACTCCTTTGTTGCCTTTGTTAAATGAATGTCATTTCTATCATTCATACAAAATTGCATTCTAAGTTAATTACCTACTGAGCTTACTGTTTGTTCAACGCTCATTAATGCGACACCACTTTTTAATGATTATTTATCATTCCACTTTCACTAAAAATATGTTTCAAATGCATACAACCTGCTTCTAGTAATTTGTATTCTTTTTTTCTCCCTCCTTCTCTCTCTCTCTCTCTCTCTCTCTCTATATATATATATATATATATATATATATATATAGAAAACGAGGAACGTTTCCGATCCTACGCCACCATGTTTATCATCATCAAAACTGAAAATGAATTCATCACCACCAACATCTACACTTGCAATTGATAGCAACGATCAAATTTTTAATAAAGTTACTGAACCAACTTGTATACCCATTTCTACACCAAATACTAGAAATTCCGCATCCATTTCTCGTGCTCCTCTTCTTCATTCTTCTCCTTCTCCGATAACAAATACTTTATCGGAAAATCCTCAAATCAGACAACGTAATGTTACTACGATTACTACTGCTACTACTACTAATACCACTATCACAATTGATAGCAATATTATACCAGGTGCTACTGGTTCAAAGGTGCTCAGATCAAAATCACATCGTCTATCAGTGGTTAAAAAGTAAGCCTATGAATTAATAATTTAATTGTCAAATAAATCATACACATAAATTATATATCTATTATAATTACGACATATTTAACTATAATCAGAGAGGGATTTTGTGGATATTACAGTAATTTGATTATTGAATTCATGATTTAATTGAAGTTAGACCACTATAGAAAACCTGGGAGCACTAGATGGCCGTTTCGTTCTAGTATGAGACTCCTCAATAGTGCGCATCCACGATCCTGCCTCGCGAGTTCGCACCCAGGACCTATCAGTCTAGTGGTTAAGCGCTCGGGAGCGAAACTAATAGGTTCAGGGTTCGAATCTCGCGAGGCAGGATGGTAGATGCACACTGCTAAGGAGTTCCATACTAGGACGAAACGGCCATCTAGTGCTCCCAGGTTTTCTATAGTGGTCTAACTTCAATTGACTCATGAATTCAACAATTAAATTAATATTTAACTATACTTTCCGTTGTGTAAACTGGTTATGAGCAAATATCATTACAGTTAATGTGTAGATTTCTCTATTGAAATGATTTATATTCAACTGTTCCCTCGTAATTTTTCAATCCACAAATAATATTTTGATTTCAAATTTCGATTTTGGCTCTGAACTTCTTTTCTGTCAAATAGTGTTAGGTATTTTGTTTTCTAAGAAAACTTTTTAAAACTAGTTTATACATTCTTTTTAGTCATATGTGATATGTAGTCATTCTACTCATATTCTGTTGACAGATTAATTACCAACTAGGTGAGTTATGTATGCAGTATAAGACTTGACATACTTGGTAAATTAAAACAAAATAACGAAAAAATACATGTCTTGTCACCTATCTATAGCTACGTAAATTGAGTTAATGCAGTTAGTAAACTCAATGCAAAGTTCTTTTTCAGCCGAACTTGTAGTTTTAGCCAATAACTTTTGATCCAGCCACGAATGTCGAGAAAGCCGAAGGTTTATTTCTTTTCCAACCGATAATACAGAAAGAAAGGCATATGTATTTATAAAACGTTTTCGACGTTCCTTCGAGAATAAGCCGGTTAGCATACGAGCTTCATAAGGTTTTATTCAATAATGCGTAAAAGGTTTAAGTTCAAAATGGCAATTATTATGAAATTCTGTTGTGGCAGAACAGGGAATATTTTCATTCAATCTTTATACTTAATGCGTTTCCCGACAATATTTTAAAGCAAAAGAGGAAAAACCAACGATATTTAGTAAGTTTTTTCTGGTTGAGGATATTTAAGACAAATAAACTGATTAGGTGATTTTACGTCATGCGATGGGTATTTCTGTGTTTAGTTCACTTAGATTTATGCTATTTATAACATTTGCTCATCGTATTCCACTCTTCTGACTTGACACAAACTGATGGGTCTCACTTTATCTTCATGAAACTACAAGTGTCGCAAATTGCCAAATATCTACTAAGATTTTATTGATCACCATTATGTCAAATCTTCAGATAAATGAAGTTCAAAGTCTGAACATTACTATCACCATTGTATTCTTCTGACCAGGCTAGCCGTAAAGATATTTTTCTAGTAACATGAATTACATAGTGTTTATAAAGGACGCATGAATAAAGTTAAACAGTCAAATTTATGAATTTGCACACGCTCATCGTAACCACTCCATACCCACTATTTAGAATGTTACATTTAAGTTATTATCGTCAATATATTGATTAATGGTTTTGAAAATTTTAAGTTGCCACCTTTTAAAGTGTTCGTTCTTCATTAAACTTATGTTTCCCTAACACTTTCCATCATTTAAGGGCAATTTATATCACTAACTGACATCAGGTAGAAAACCACTGAAAATAGTAAAACGTCGACCGTTTGTATCGTCATAGGTTTGGATACCACAACAGTTCACATCTACGATTTTGTATTCGATCAAACTCAAAACATTCCATTCTCATCAAATACATAATATCTTTTCACAGTTATCTCTAAATTTAAATGTTCGGTTATTAAAATTCAGTACATTTGTCATATAATAAACAATATGTGCAACCAATATCATTAGGTTAGTTTCTGTCTTATTTTCAATGTAGTTGACTCCACATATCATGATTTCAGACAATGTTAGTTTGTAATTGTACACAATCTTCATCAAACCATATTAATAAACTATGACTATAGTTTCTACTAACTTCTATATGTATATTCCTACTTATAACTAGTTTATCTATGAGATACTTGTCAAAATGATGTAAATTGTTTGAAGTAAATTTTTCTGTTTAATACTATTTAGATTAACACAACTGAAATGGATATAATTAAACAAGTTTCATAAAAGGTTGTACAATTTAATTTATTCAAATTCATTTAACCGTGAACAGTTCTTGTTCTTATCTGTGCTGATTATTTTATTATGGTAAAGAAATGACTTCACACCCTTGTTACATCGACTATGGTAAAAGATTGTTGAGTGTTTTATTTTAAGTTTTAATCGGAATAATTGTATACATGAATATACTTACTGTTTAGACGTTTTTACAAAAGTTTGTTGTACTTACTATTAACAATTACTGTAATTTAAATGAAATTTTAATTTAAGGCAAAGTACAATTAAGTTATGTGTACTTTAGTAAATAATAAGGTTTCAGGAAAAAAATTAGTTAGTTTTATGAAAAAAAGGAACCGATCATCTGATTTCCTTAAAAGTTATATTTGCCATAAGCCTAGTCTTGATATCGTTACAATTTATACCCTATTACCAACTCTCGTCACATTATTATTATTATTATCGTCACACTTGTGTTTCTCCTAATTCCTGCTTGCTCTTGTCATTTCTCTTCCACAACTGAAGTATTTCATTGTCAATGAAATTGTATTGCTTTTAGTTACTGTAGCATTAGTTATAGTCAGCTGTTTCTTTTTCCATTTTTTCAACTGAAAGCTTTCAACCTTATATCGAATGTTTTAAAATTTACTTCAAAGGAAATCTTTGTATAGTAATAATAATAATAATAATAATAATAATAATAATAATAATAATAATAATAATAATAATAATAATAATAATAGTTATGTTATTATTTGTCTGGCCTAATTCATCTACGTAATTAACTTATTAATTAAGTTTAATCACTGAATGTTTGTGAATAACCTTTAGCAAAGGTGTAATTAGCTTATAATTTTATGTCATATCAGTTGACGAGGCTTTAAATATTCATGAGATGACATGGCTGGTTCATGTATTGTATATGCACATTCACCTCGATGTGTGATACTGGCGTAAGTATAGGTTGAAAGCTGGGGACGGGAAAATCAAGAAGTAAGATTAGTCCATGAAGTTGTTGACTACTAGTCTGAGCCATTATCATAGCTGTAGACCATTACTACAGGTTGACTGAGTCCTAAGGTTGCTAGTCAACAGTGTTCTTGTAGTTCATACACTCACCTGTCTTTGTTCTAAACAAGTACAATTTTCTTGATTGAATTTTTCGACAAAATCAATATTGATTATTGATGAATTTATCTTTTCATCATGCAGATGGACCCACCTTTTAATATTCTTACATATCTTAAACGTATTACTATTCATTGTTTACCTGCTTCTTCGGTTTATGAAATCATGAACCGATTTAATTTAAACCAACATTAAAAGCTAAAAACACTGGACTGTCGTTTAATCTTAATATGGGATTCTTCAGCAGTGTGCATTCACGATTCTGCGCGCAGGATTCGGACCCACAACCTTCGCTTTTGTGCACAAATGCTTAGTCTCTCGACCACCGAGCGGGCATCTACCTGTGTTAAGCCGCAACCTCAATCAGTCTGCGACATCGCGCGACCATTTTCGATTGTCTTATGTTGCTAATATCTTCAATTTCCTTCATTCTAACTTTCTATTTATTAAACCCAATTTTCTGTTCTCATTTGAATTGTGGCTTATTGAACTAATTTGTATTCTTGCTTTTTAATTCTGTTCATTTAACATCCTAGCAACCGGAGATATTTTACTGACTAATATTTGGTCGGTTATAATGAAGAGATTGGAAGTTAAGCTACTACTGAAGAACTGGTTCGCCGTTCGACGTCTTACTTTTTGTTTAATCAACCTCGTAGTAAAAATGTATCTCTTACGCCATTGTAATTCTATACTTATTTTACTTGTATCTATGCTACTTGTCATTCTGATTAAATTCAATATGGTTTCCGTACTTCTTCGCCTTACAGCTATAACTTTTCTCATATGAATATATTTTCATCACACAAATCTATATGTGTTTATCTGAATGATTAAAATCCTGATCTCTGTTTATTTTTACTTTCTTAACAGATCTCATCCATGGATGCGTTATACATTTTGTTCACTGACAGTATTTTTGATTTATTGGCTTTTTAATGGTTTTCTATTGGGTCTAACTGTTGGTTGTATACTAACATATACATTCGTTACAGTGTATAATTATTTGCATAGTCGTACAAACTATTCTAATCAAATTCTCTGTCCAATATCAGGATTGCCATTAGATCACTTATGCTGTTCACTGCATTATCGACAAGAACAAGAGGGCCAGTATCAAGGTTCACAATGGTGGCCAATCTATTCACCTGCTATGCCAAATTTAACTTCTATTTTAACTAACAACGCGAACAGTACTAATAAATGTATGCAGTTAAGAAATTTGCCTAATTTCACTGTACCAAATATGCTTGAAGAAGATGTTAGCAAATCAACTATCTCAGGTCCATTGGGAAATAGTTTAGGTTTTAAATATGACAATAATGGACGGCCCGTATACAAAGGATGGTTAAATGAGGTAGGTTATTAGAAGAAAATAAAGACTATCATTTTAATCAAACCATAATAAATGTCCTAGTTCTTTAATTTATAGTCGCTTTAAAGCTCATGAAAAACATGTATTCACTACTGATAAATTTTAAATTAGATAAGTGTTCTTTTGATATACTGGCACATTCAACTTTGAAGTGTCATCAATGAAATAATACGTTTCATAGAAAGAAAGAAAAAAAAGAATAAATGAAGTCCCTTATTTTTTAGAAAAAAAATTAATCTCAATGTGCATGTGTAACTAGACATCATCAGTATATGCTATAAAAGCTCCTATTGCTATCAATTTAACATAAGCTACAAACAACAATAATCACTTGTTACGATAAATCTAACAATTAATTTCATTGTGATAGAAAATCATGGTTTTGCTTTTCAGGGAAATAATCATTAATAAATTGAGAAAACAAATTTGCCCTGATGTGATAACTAATATTCTTAATTTATGTCATTATCAGTTGTTGGTAATCTCGTTAATGATGTCGTGTAACTTTCCATCGTTTATATTCAGGACTACAACCGATCATTCTCTGTCCTCATATATTTGTGGTGGATGGATTGTTTCGATATGGATTTATATTTAGTATGTGGTTGGCAGTGGAATTCAGTACGCGGTATTCAGCCTTTTTGGTAGTCATCAATCGGATATACTCTCATTACAGTGTTGATCTCTACATTGACACTCAAATTCAGTACCTGTCACTTCGAACCCTTGACATAATGATATATCGAGATAACTCACTCACTAAATGATACACCTCAACTTATCTTTCTGTTGTCTAGTGTTCAAACTCATCTAATCACAAACTAACTCGGCGATCAACAAATACCTGTTCATATTTTAGACTTAGGTATAGATTTTATCGTGAAAATTAATGATTCTAGGTGAAGCATGATTAGTACTTGCGACTTAATAACTGAAACATTGACCTTAACAACTGCATTGATTTCATGCACATAGTTTCTTTTATCAGCTTAAAGAGAGCAGAGATAAAACGTTGAGCAGTATATCATGAGCTCATTTTATTTCCTTTGATTCTCGTCAACTGCTTAAAAACTGTAACATTTAAAAATCGCTAAATGCGTTTAAATTATTTACAGTAAGGAGTTTTTTAGAAGTTTGAATGATCGATACAGAGGTAGTGGCAATAGATTTTTGACTAGCCTAATAAACGCTCATCAAGTAATAGCTTAATAAAAATAATACTGCTAAACATGAACTGAGCAAGTCGATATGATTCCTAATCTTTGAAAAAAATTCCATTAGTTTATTTACATTTGTACTACATACGTCAATAGACATTTGTTTACGTTTAAATGCTGGCAGTGGTGCCAGAGAAGTCCTACTCACTGCCTCCTCGCGGAGGGAATGTTGTTTGTGAAATTGTGAGGACGAAAAGCGAATGTCCGGCACTTTAACTGGGTTGGTGAATACGGAGGATCCACCTAAGGGAGTTGGAAAACCCTGATTCCAAACCAATAGTGCACATGGGCTCTAGTATCCTAAGAGAACAAATGGAGCATGAACCTATTGTTGGTCACCGGCTACCATGGGACTGCATCTCCTGACGTTGCTCCACTGCCTCATGGATTAGACATTCAGGTCAAGGGCCCGGGTGTGATGACCCCTTAAGGAAACCACCTACTACGGTTTGGACACCCGGGTATTATCCTAGCCCTCACACAAATCGAATGATAAAGTGTGACACTCACATATTTGAACCTCCTTGTGCCAATATTTATATTTTTAAATAAACAAATGAAATAAGTACGAAGTATTTATCTGTTTTTTCCCTTAATAAAGTTGTCATATACCTTCTATACCAAATAGTATGTATATCTTTTTTTTCTACAGATTATTCATTATGATCCTGAAACTCATCATATTGGCAAAACATTTTCTGTCTTCCTCACGCTTGATGGTACACAATTACGCCTACAACGCCCAGAACATAATATTACTCGTAGATCTTTATGGAATGATGAAATCCCATCAACTACAACTATGCGATTCAAACAACAGCATATTTATGATTTAACTAATGCAACTGTTACACTCCTTCCATGTGGCTTAGTCGGCAAACGTCTATGGAGTAGAAAATATCCTATTTGTATCACCGTCTACACTGAAGGTAGATTCAAGGTAAATGCTAACATGAGAGTTATGTTTATCAATAATTGATCTTTTGTTGTAAATTGTTTTTTGTACATATTACACCACACGTTGCTTTATGTCAATCAGTCGTGTGCAACGTAAAACCTGTCACATAGGGAGATACAATTATTTCAAGGCAAATACCAGAGTAGTAGGAGTAGTAACAGCATCAGTAGCAATATAATAAATTAGGCATAGAAAAAAGGGTCTAAGGAGGTTTCAGGACTCAGGGAAAGATAAAGATTGAATGCACCTGCACCATGAAATTTCAAAGTCCCCAATCATTGGTTATAATAATCATGTCGACCCCAACCAGGTAGTCTACACCTACTCACATAGCTAAGTTCACTTGACAATGACTTCATGGACTGGCGCCATATTTTGGTTTAACCGACCCCAGTTTTCTCCCAGCCTACTCCTAGATCAGATAACATCGCTCTTCGAGCTAGCATGTGGTTTGGCATATGAAACACATGTCCCAATTTCCTTAGCTGACGAAAATCTACTGCGTCATCAACCAATTTGCCATCTTCATTTAGTACCTTATGCCTAACCTTAAGATTCCTCACTCATTGGTCCGAAAATGCTCAGGTAATGCTTTGAAGTTACTGATATTTGAATACTGGTAACCCACGAACATTCTATATTCTCAAGGGCCATATTTCACATCTTTAAATTAAAACAAACCGAACTGTTTTGTGTTGACTCGTCCTTTGGTCGGTAGATAAAATCTGTCCAAGGCTTTACAGAATATATTTTTTACGAACTTAATGTATACTATATTGTATATCAGTTTCTCTGACCATATCACTTTATTTCAAAGTATTTCGCTTTTGTTTGTATGTAACTTTAGTGTCAATACCTGTTTGCCTTGTTTGGATCTTAAAGACTTTTTCACTTTAATTCTCAATTACTCGACTAAAGAACGTTTGAAAATCATTTTAGCCATGTTTTATTTTGAAATGTATTCCGTAACAGTTAATAGAAACATGATGATATTAGAGAGGTTTTGATAACTACATCTCTAGACCCAACAGTTAGGGACTTATTTATGTAATTTTTCATAGCTTTATTTATGTTATCAATAGATGTATTGTGATTGCGGAAAGAAGCCTTGTGGATTCAGGTTTCAGAAATGAGACAGCTATTTCCCAAACTATAGGGAATTTTTACTACATACTGTAAAACCTAAAAATGTTGCGTCAGAAAATAACTCATAAATGCATCAGGGTAGTTTGATTTCTTCCAGTGTATTCTTGTAATTTTCAATTTACTAGTTTCTTTGTCTATAAATTATGATTTGTAGGTTATTTTTATTTGGTCTGGTGTTGGTAGTTTCAGGGAATAACTTCTGATCATTCTATGACTAAGAATAGCCATGCACAAATCATCCTGTCAGCTACATTCCTTCACTTTCCTTCATCATTAAAATGATGTTGTTTTCTGACTTGACATTCAAATATTCCATTACGAAGTACGTATGTTATAATGAAAACAATATGAATTTGTAAACTGTAAATCACAACGTTTCACTCGTGTTTACATGATGATTTGTTTGTTTTTAATGAAAAATACATTCTGCTCTTTTTTACAGCGCAAAACTGAAAGACTTGATTCACTACCATCATCGACGAGCTTTCCAAATATCATATTATCTACTAGCTCTAATATAGCAGTGAATGAATCCTCTGACTTGACCATGGATACCTCTATTCCCTCAGCTGGAGATATGGAGTTCCCTGATGATACTAGTATCAATGTATTGCAAACTTCAAGCAAATCAAATATGAAAAATTTATATTTGTTTGGAAGAACATGTCGCGAAAAAGAAACATGGTACCGTAGACTGAAAGCTGCCTCATTGGGCACACCTCTTATATGGACACCTCAGATGGTAAGAAAATATTTTTTTAGGTATATTGCAAATTGACAATTTTTTATAAATCTCATTGACCAGGTGACGTAATAATACCTTGAAAAAAAGTTCCGAGACCACATTTTGGGAATTACATTTTGTGATGTTTTAAGAATTTTTGTCAGTGATCTTATGGATATGACGTAAATGTGACCAAGTAATGAAATTACATTATATCACAAATTGAGATAAGCTGAAACAAATTATTCTTCTAATGTTCAGTTACAAAGTCTAAATTGCATTATTTTCTACTGAAACTGATCACTGTGTTCTACTTTAAAATACTTGTTATTCTGTGTGACACATGCCTAGCATAAGTTGGTAAAATTCTAATGGCATACAACTGTAATTTCGATCTAATAAGATTAACTCGCATGTCATTTTGCTTTCTGAATTTCCTAGATAATTTTTGATATGTTAATCAATCAAATTATCTCAAATATTCTAGAACTATCAGTCCAAGCAATTACAAAAGCCCCATTAAAACCCTGATGCCTAAATTCTTTCACATTGTGAACGGATTATTAGATAATGACTGACAATTCATTTTCCAGCAATAACAGTTTAAACTTAGACATTGATATTGTTAGATTACCAACTCAGTGGTCTAGAGATTAAGCGCCCGTGAATGTGACCGAAGGTCCTGGGTTCGATTCCTGAGCGCAGGATCGTGGATACACACTACTGAGGAGTCCCATGCTAGGACAAGGAGGTCGTCTAGTGCTTCCAGGTTTCCCATGGTGGGCTAACATTGTTCGATTCATAATTTAAATGAAATAACAATTTTGTTTACATTCACCAAATTGAACTATTAGCTGGATCATTACCCATAAGTAATTCTAAGCTTAGCAATTTTGTTTTATTCCTCCAACGAATTTCGATCTTGGCCATATCTTTGGGTTTATAGTTGAAGAACCTGATGAGAACTTATTGAGGAGAATATTCTTCATATATATATATATCGAGTTCTGTTTGTAATGTGATTGGGATTTTTCAAAAAGATAGCCCCAATCGGTACTAGTCACAATTGCTTTCATTATATGTAGATTGGTTTCATTAGTCACTATATCATCAATGCTCACATAATCACTTTCAGTTTTCGTCCCTCACATCTAATTCGTTGATAACACCACGTAATGGTGAAGCTTTATGTACTGTCAAATAAATTATTTTCACGTTTTGTTTAACCCCAATTTTTATCAGTAATCTATTGAGGTATCTTTTAATTGTTAAATTCATGATCATGGTGGTTTGGCGGATAAATATTCTGAAGATCAAACGTAAATCTATTTTTACGACTATTATGGTTATTACAATTTTTCTGTAAATTATAACATGCCCACTATACTGGGCCATACAATAATTAATCCTGTAACACCAAGTTATTCTTTTGATATTGTTAGAGTCAATGTTTTTTAATAATGATTTTTCATTTTTCAGTATTGAACTTTATTACATTGTTTTTATAAACTTGATGGTTAAATCAACTCATTCGTTTCCCTCTTATTTGTTTATAGGCTGTACAACATTATCTTTTGGCATCAGATATTAATAATAGTAATAATAACGTTGGTTTACCGGATTATTTAAGTGGTACTGCCACAGCATCTTCTAATATCATTTCTAATCACAACGACAGCACATTGAGTGACGATGAGAGTCAACCTGATGGAAATACATTATCGAATCTGACAACATGTTCTGATTCAGCTGCCAGTATCGCTAATACTGATGTTGTTACCACTATTACTACTACTATTAGTAGTAATAATAGCAATAGTACTCCCACTGGTTTAAGCAGTACAACCAATACTAATAGCACTTATTCATCCAGCATAAATCTTTCAAATTATGGCGCTTCAATACCTGGGAATCGTGAACCAGTCTATGTTTCATATGTCCGATATATGGCTAAATTTATGCCCGCCAATTGGCTTGTACGAAGTGCACAAGCATTAAAATTAAATGTTAATCAAATTAATTGTGATACAAATATGATATGGCTTAATGCATTAATTGGTCGTTTGCTATGGGATTTTCTTCGTGAACCTTATTGGTTAGAAAAGATAAAAAATAAGATTCAAGCAAAGTTGAAAAAAATACATGTAAGTAGTGTGGATTTGTATTTTGACATTTTCTTATTATTTCAGTTGCCTATTTTTTTAAACCTCCAACATAATTGATGTAGTTGTGAATTATCACAAATTAACATTGATAGATTATTACTAGTGCTATGTGAAGATGGAATCACCGAAGTTCTTCTATAAGATTTAATTTAATAGTAAAAATGAAAATTAATTGGTAACGTTTATCGATAGTTGTCCTCCATTAAATTGTTATTAGAAGTCCTAATTTGTATTTTGTCTTTTGTAACGGAAAGTATAATCTCTAATTGGAAAGCCTTAGTATCTTAGATTCGTCTCTATGAGCGATAGACGTCAGTGTTGACTGTAAGAAATCATTAAGTAATACGATATAGAAAGAAACAATGTATTCTAACCTTTTCCAATTTGTATATGCAAATATTGTAATGCTAGTTTTTCCTTGTTTCTAGGCGTAGGACAACTTGGTTAGTGATATATCGAAATAGTATATCTCTTTTCTCTTCCCTCAGTTAGGATATTTAATGAGACTTGAACCTTTTTATTATTATCGTGTTAAAAACCGATCAATGTTAAACTACCATTGAAAACCTGAAAGTATTGGACGACCGTTTCATCCTAGTGTGGAAAAAGCATATTTTGGCGTCCTATTCTAAGACGAAACGGCCATCCAGTGCTTCCAGGTTTTCAATGGTGGTCTAACATTCATCGGTTCATAATTTTAATGAAACTTGACGACCCCCACAACCCTATTACTAACAAAGATATATTCCACCGAATTATTATACAGAATAATGTTAATGCTTAAGAAATTTATATATAGGAATTTTACATGTTAACAAATAGTTTTTAAAATCATTCTATTTTTTGTTTTATCTCTGTCCAAAAATATCATAGCTTCCAAATTTCATCAATGAACTCACTGTCGTTGATATTGATTTGGGCTCAGAAATACCTGTACTAAGACGTATCGGATGTCCTTATCTGGATGCACATGGTCTATGGATTGAAGTGGATGTTGGTTATGCTGGAGGGTTCTCATTTGCTTTGGAAACAAGTGTAAGTAAATTAAATGGAGGAAAGCAACTTCGGGAGTAACAATTTTTAAAATTACATTTTTCAATGAATGTAAAAAGTTTAAAATCTCATGCTCCACACCAATTTACCTGTGCATCAGTTCAACATACGAGTTATCTCATTTGACACAAACTCCCCTTATTCTGTTTCATGTATAATTCTTCTCCTAAGGAATTTTTACGAACATCTTGATGTGTGCTTCTAAAAAATTGACATAATGAAAGCCGATGTTAAGGTGTTTGATGTGGTTGGCCAATAGAAAGTGTCTATTTAAGAGTAATTGTAAAAATTATGTTAAACTAGTGGTGTACGAAAGCTCCAGAAACTAATGTACAAATTCACTCTGGTCACCAACTACACGTGACGTTTCACTTTTTTATGTATTATATTTTTAATTCACCTTGTCGGATTCCAAAACAAAAGCATTTGGTTGAGCTTATGTGCGCGGATATTATCACACAGATGCATGGCCGTGTGTGTTTGCTCCCTTATGTTTTCTGAATGCTAGGCCTAGATACTGACCATAAGATTAGTTTGTTTGGATTAAATTTAGCTACCTCTTATACCATTTGACGTAATAGTCGTTTTTGTTATTAATTTTTATCGGAAATTTAATTCCTGGTGCTATCCTTTACTACATACTGTTCCAGACTGTTCGGAACTGAGTCATTAAGAAGGAACATGAACTGCAATTATTATTATTATTATTATTATTATTATTATTATTATTATTATTATATTTTGTTTCATTAACGTGTGTTTCAAGTAATCTCTATTGGATAGCTATGTTGATAACTTCCGGACTCGTACTATGTTTTGATTATTTTCTGTCCGAATTTTGGGGATTCTTAGTTTTTAGAAAGTCATTAGTTTCTTAATTCGATATTTAGAGATTACCTAACTAAGCATGTGTAGATTGACTTGTTAATCAATATTTCACTTTTTGATGTTAATTTCAATATGACTCAATGATCAGTTTGCATAAAATATTATTTAGTAATTTATCTTAACAAAGTAATTATTCCTTCGACAGTATTTATCACGGATCAGTGTCAGTATTATTATCATGAGCCCACTAGTTACTTACTTCAAGAGCAGTCATTGGAGTTCTAATAGGAAGTCGTAGCCGGTGGAGTCCAATGATTAAATGATCATTGCTTCATGTAGCAAACTGTACTAAAAGAGAAATATGTTTTATTGAACGTCTACAAAATTGTTTAATTGTTTGCCGCTTGTTACGAGTTCTTAAATTGAATGAACGCTGCTGATGAGTTCCACAACAGGTTCAGTCCCAGTGTTGTATATTTGGATTTTTTGAGGTTTATCGTGCTAGGTATTTGCAATAAACTACCGTGTAACTCCTTTGATCAATACATATAAATCACGCAGTTTACCTCTGACTGACCTTGGAGAATTGTAAGCCGTTGGATACACGTAACTCAGGATCATTTTCAAATCCACCTTTCATAAATCACTCGCCTCTTCAAGATAATATATTCCTTAGCTTTAGCTAAATATTTATCAGAAAAATCTGAGGATTTTGAAATTATTATTTCTTCTTTTGAGTCCCATAATTTACGATTACTATGCACTAGATTTCATGTTGAGAAAATCATTTACAAAGTTGAGGCTTTGAGACACACTTTTATTGCATGTAAATAATGTTGGTCCTACACAGCTCTCCAAGTTAAAGTTGGTGGAAGGTTGTTCGAACAAGGGATTCAATGGTTACAGGTCGAATGCTTTAAGCACAGCCATGATAACTAAAACAAATTTGTTTAAACTTAGGGTACATAATACATATATAAATGTTTGTGTTTACTCAATGAGAGATATGTGTCTTAACTATATTAGGACGTACTTTTATTTCATTAGTTCGTGTGAGTTTTATTCATTTTACATCGATTTATGAGGTTGAACAGTATTTCAACCCATTTTATACATTGATTGGTTTTTTTTAATTACCAAGGGGCATCGATCTCTTCATAAAAACCAACGTAACAGTAAATCAATAATCCATTAATAAACAATGTTAACATGGGGTCTATATTCACAACGTATTGATAATAGCCTGTTATATATATACCATGTTGTATCTTGAGTTAATAACAATTTCCTGTTAATTTTCTCAACAAACAAATTGTTTCATACTCTTTATCTCTGAAAATAAATGACAGCTATATAAATGAGAGTAGGAGAAACAAAATATCTAGATTTGTATGCATGAGAATTTAATGTGTTAGTAGAATATTTTATTTTTCACTATTCTCTCAGCTCTTCCCAAGTCGTTATTTTGTGTCTTCACCTATAATTGTTATAAGCTTATCGATTTGTGTGCATGTGCATGGCTGTGAGTGTTTTCAACAACCAATTAATAAAATTTGTAAAACCTATTGTGTCATGTAAACTGTGAGTTTTTAACGTCCTACATATGGTTCTTGTTCCTACTCTACTATTTATTATTATTATTATTATTATTATTATTAATATTAATGTACTTGATACTTTGATCAGCTTATAATGTTAGGATAATATGAAGGAAAAATTCCGTACCTGAACTTATTTTGTATCCTTTTGTCATAACTTAATAACTATTTACTAGTATAGGGGTTGTGGAGATTATTAAGTTTTTGATTGAGATCATGAACCGATTAATGTTAGACCATCACAATTGAAAACCTGGAAGCACTGGACGGCCGTTTCGTCCTATTGTGGGACTCCTCAGCAGTGCGCATCCACGATCCCGCTCGCGGGACGAAACGGCCGTCCAGTGCTTCCAGGTTTTCAATTGTGATGGTCTAACATTAATCGGTTCATGATCTCAATTAATAACTATTTGTTTACTTATTCCCTAACTATGCATTACGTTCAATATTTATGATTGTTATGACCTTGAAGTTGAGGGTTCAAAACTTTTCTCCACCCCGTCGCCAATTGTTATGGCTTTGTATGTCTGGTTTTTCTATCCCACGACTTATCTACCAATCCGAATACGACTTATACGAATCTTCACACTAGGCCAACCAATGATGTTCAAGCTGTGTGGGCAGTTTAGCGTCCTTATTGGTCCTATGTCCTACGAGCCCTCCCACTTGAGTCCAGAACAAGATACCAGCTTCCGAATCAGAGCAGATCAGACCAGATCGTTTATTTCAGGCATACTTGGTTTATATATCAATCATACAGACCGCAACGTACCATAAAATAGGAAATAATATTTGTACACAAATAAGCCCAAAAAGTGGCTGTGAATGTGGGAGGCAGTAGTTAATAAGCTGAACATAACTTAAGAACCGTAAATCGTACAATAATAAATTATAGGCCAAAATAAAGCTTGTCATAAGAGGGATATAAATATACATAATGTAATTGTTGAATAGTTATACAATAAGAATATTTATAGAATATTAGTCCATGAATAGTCCTCGGAAGTTACCTGTAATTTAATCTCCACTCGGATATAACAATGATGTAGATTGTTTTTGTTAATCGATTGAACGTAGCACCCAGTTTTAGCGAGTTTCACACCCATTGATTGGTATTAATCACCACTGAAATGGTCTTTCACTTAATTGGTCATTGTGTGATATAGTGGAATTTTGTTGGTTGTAGTAGGTGTCCTTCGTTTCTAGGTATTAACTCTCTTTAAGTTGATCAACCCTATCTCACATAGATGAACACATACTTCTTTAAGATCTCCATTCTACTTTTCAAATCATAAAATAAACCCATCACTTGACTAAAGGCTTAGAATAGAAGTGCAGCCACCAAGTATTTGTATGATCAAGAGCTAAACGTGATTATTTCTCTTTTAAGGATTAAATTCATAAATTTAAATTACTTTGCATCTATTTCAATGTATACAACTGGATAATATCATTAGCAATCACAGCTGTAGTATATTTGAAAGGTGAGGACATGAACATGTACTTTGTAAACAAGCTACATTGACATTCGTTTCTAAATTAACTTGGGTTACTAACTGATTAACTAGAGTAGAGCGCTTAATCTAAATAAAGCAGGGATATGAACCTAACTTTTCACAATGAAGTGTTTAAGTCACTCATCCACAGTTTTAAATGAATCGTATTACTTCTTAATGTGTAATTAAGTATCATCTATTTATCAAAGCTGACTCAATTAGAACTAATATTTATTTATTTTTAGTATTCTTCAGTGCTGGATGCTTCGATAATTCACTACATATTTCTTTGTTTGTTTAATATTTTTTATTTAGGTTAATTTGATGCGGTGGAATCAAAAACTTCGTGAAGAAAAAGATATTACCTATTCATCAGGTTCGATCGTTTATTTATTTATTTCTAAACGAGATTAGTTCTATTTTTCCATAAAAGTTATGTGTTTCAAAAGTGAAATTTCGTAGCATAGCATTAAGCCTTGTGGTATATTACTATGATCTCTTCTCTTAAGCGTGGTTGGTAGTACTGTCCATAAAAATGTTACACTTTGTAATTTACGTTGAGGACGACATGATTTCTGTAACCAATCGTTTGATATTTCAGGTGAAATGACTCAGAATCAGTCTGAATCGCTCAGGTGCGTTCACTCTTTTTCATCTCTTAAGTCCTGAGTTTCAAAATTTTCTTGTATTTTTCAATCACATGGACTAATTCTTTCCCGAATCATACCATTTGTAGCTATCTTTTTCCTGCTACTCATATTGTCATTAATTCTATTTCTCTGGGATTTGTCTTGATTATTTCAAATTGTTGTGTTAATTTAGTGTGACAACATGAAGCACTATACATGTTTAACGGGTTCTACGTTTCATATGGCTAACTGACTTATTTTTATTGTATAGAATTTGATTTATTGATAAAGACTACAGATATAATAGCTGTGAGCGTTTTTGTAAAATACTCTGTAACTAATTTTTTTATCAGTCTCCCCTAATTCCAATGATAAAGTTGCAAATATAAGGTACTTTTGTCTTTTAAATGAACTATTCTTTTGTTTGATTTTGTCATCAATTAATAATAATAATAATCTCCCCCTAAACATGTCAAAAAATGTAGCTGCATCTATCAGTAACGGTATACTTGCTATTGATTCTATGTACTTTGCAATGAAAGTTCCACTTATTTAAGAAGTGAGTTGGTTAGATTTCATGGGTGCGCAACGTTTACCACTGGCAGCCACACTTGTTCTTTTTAAATCAATTAGTATTCTCCACTTAATTGTTCATTATTAATAAAACTGCGCTTATATGTTAAAATTTAAACTTTTGCTTTTCATGGATAACATAATAAACTTGACCAATGAGACAGTAACAACACAGTTGAATGCTATTTATCTGGTTACCGACATAAAGAGTGATCACTTGTGAATAACATTTCAGTATTCATTTCAACTAGTATTCGATATATAAGTAAATATTTTTGAAACTATTCGATCTTTCGGGGGGGGGTGACGAGTCTATTAACAAATAATGAAAATGTTTAGTGAGAGTCAAAGTGAAGCGTCAATAACAATCAACAACTGAAATTATTACCATCCAAGATTATCAAAACACAAAATCTTATACTATATGGTTGTAGGTAGTCATGTATCTTTGTGATTTTCTTTAAAATCTTTTACATGAGTATTTTTTTGTGTAAAAAAGATGAAAGTGCAATTAAATCAAACCCTTTTCTTTTTTCGTCCACATTCTCCCAGATAATTTTGCTCAAAACTCACTATCCAATGAATCTCTACCGAAAGTTCATTCTCGTTCAATAACAAAAATGGCCGCTTACCTATCTGATGAAGAGGACAGTGCTGATTCAACAACTGACTCTGAATTAGATGAAACAACTAATATTAGTCAAAATTCCAGTCCAATAAATAGTTTACGACCTGGGCGTAACTTACCATCCACAGGACTAATCATAGGTGGAATGAAATCCGGTGATAATGAACGTGTAAACCCTGAAGACAACAGGTAAAAGATTACTATAATTTATAAAATAAATATTGGAAAAAGTCTCTGCTAGTTAAAACAACAAAGTCTGTTCATGTTTCTCAGCCGCTTGAAGGTGTTTCTTATTATCGGATGTTATGAGGATTTTAGAATTTTATAGTCACCAATACTGACTGATATTTTTTGGCAACCACTGAAAAATATGAAGCAATAGACAACGGTTTCGTCCTAGTATGAGTACCTCATTAGTGTTCATCCACGACCCCACGGAAGATCGAGCATATGACCTTCAGATCTCATCGTAAAGACTATCAGTTGTGTTGGTTGGTTGATAGAATGGATTTTAAATTATATTCTTTATATGCTGCGGTAAGAAAATACTAAAGATATAAAAGTCTCTGTCACAACTGCTGAAATAACAATTTTTATAACGTTTTGAATCTTAGGACTAGTTGACTTCTCCCGTGAGTGTTTAGTGAAATTTATTCCATAATTAGACCTTTAAAGCAACATCACTCCTAAAAAACAAGTCTTTTTGTATGTTCATTGCTTGCTAGGCAAGTTTCTACTGGGGGTTGTCATTGAATGCTCTAATAATGTCATAAGTATAATGTCAGTAACTTCACTACTTACAAGCTTGGATTATGAGTATCAGTAAACGTGACCTTTAATTTAAAATATGATTTACTATAATTCGAATTTAAGTAGTTATCAAAAATTTTCAACTTTTACTGTTATTGCAGCAGATCTATTTGTTTTAGTAAATTGGTCTATTAAAGCAATTGATAAACCCATTTTACATTCAATATTGAATATTTATTATCGTACGTAAAGCAAATTCAGTGTTATGAACATATCTTAATTTCTGAAGTTTACTACTTTATATTCCTTTTTTAAATTATTAAGTCTTTCATGATCGAGTTTACCACTTTCAACCAGTAACATGCTACAGCTAATTAAAACAAATCACTTTCTTTATGTAACCAACAATAGACTTGTTTTACTAGTCAGAAGTCAAATCTTCAAGTAATTGAACAAAGTGAAATGATAATCTTATTTATATATATAAACAGATTTTGTAGTTAATTTAACAAAACAGAAGATAAAGAGTAGAGTAGAATTATTACCAGTGCTTGCTTCTCAATTATTATGATGAAATGATAAATTGAATTGCAATATAGAGGTTATAATCAATTTATCATGAAAATAATTGTCTGTAGATTATTCTTTCTGATATCACCATTGAAACCAACCTATGGAGTTAAATATTAAAACTGACTTATTTACGTATGTTAATTCTTACTAAAGCTTCTAACCACACGATTAAGAGATGCGTAAAATGTGGCAATCAAAAACGCAAAATAATCTTGAATATGGTACTGTGATTATGAAAATATATGGCGAGCATGCATTACAAAGCAGAATACGTGAGTTGTCTACAGAATCTATCGTATTAGTATAAATCAGATAAGGATGCTTCCTAAAATGGATATATAAAGGTTACTTACAACAACATAGGATAAACTATTTGATAACGAATAGCTGTGTCGAAACTACAAAGGTAGACAACAATCTAAAATGGGAATGAAGAGCGCTAGAATGGAAACTGTTACAAGAAAATAAATGTTCAATGAGTACACTAGAATTGGAAACAAGTGTTATGAATGTAAAGAATATGCAATGACAGTGATAGATAAATTGAAGTTCACCAGTCCATGTGAATACTTGAAATATTGAACACTATGCACTCAAAAAGTATTACAATTGAAACTGATTACTGAAGTTGTAGTATAAAATAATACACAAGAAGAGAGCGAAGATAGGAAGCGCTAATCGATTCAGCAGCCCATTGCACTTATAAATTCACACAATTGAATATAAAGCGTAACTTCATCATATTACCTGGTCATCATTCGAAATTGCATTAATAAAACACTGTGTAGAGTAGCTAGCATTAAATAAAATTCTCTGTTTGGTGCTTGAAGTTAATCGGCATTAAGGATTTAGATTATAATATCGTGATTGTTGACATTTAGATTTTTCAGTTTACTACAATTCTCTCCATTATTAGTTCACTGATCAAGTCTTACATTGTTTTATATTCATAGATTTTTATTTACATTGAGTTATATAAAAAATGTCATTCAAATCATTACAAATGTGTTCTTTGAGTAGACAGAATATTGATCATTTAAAATGTACACATATTTAATCTTTTACAAATAGGTGTTGCATTGACTGAACGATCTATTGACTTTGCTGTCATATAGTGATTTTACATTAGATTCCCCGTTTAGTGCAGAATAAGTTTCAGAGCATATTGAATTTCTGTTATATATTTAGTGTTTTAGGAATTGAGTTATAAATACACACTTAAGTTGTTAAATGCATACTTGTATTAATAATGAATACTCATTGTTTCATTTGGAACTATAAAAAGTGTGTAAAAATTTAATTTATTTACTTTCTCTATAGTTAATGTTTTTATTTGTTAGACCATTTCATCAATTGAGGGATAATAGTTTAACTTAATCTATTCTTGTTTAATTGATTCCATACATATATGTATGATTATTGTGCAGGTCATTTAATCATCTTTCTCCAACTTCACCGAACCGGTATGTATCAATCTCTAAATAAGCAACACTACATTAGTGATAATCTTATTATTTGTGAACTAACTCTCTTTCTCTACTTCAACGCAGACACATAATCACATCTTATTTCCTTACTAGTTTCGTTTGTATTTCTGCTCAACATTTAATTCTATCTTAAAGCATTCACACAAATTTTGCATAACTTTTTAATTGCATCTTCGTTAACATATTATTGTGTTTTTGTTTACTTTAGTCGGGTGTCATATCGCTCATTGTGCATGTGTGTTTCTAACTAAACAGGAACCGAAACGATTAATAGTACCACTTGAAGAATCAATATTGTTTTCATAAAAACGAGTTACATATTCTTCTTCATGTAGGATGCTCTTTCTCTTTAGATTTCTTCAACACATTTTTTAACTCTTAGTTTATTTGTTGTACTCATTGTTATTTATTTTAGAAGAGTGTAAGTTTTGTCAATATTCAATAAGTTATCGCAAAACTCTTACTTTCATTGGTGATAAATTGATAATGAATACATATAGTTGTTTTTTCTTATGATGCCCTTCCTCGTCTCGCAATATTCCGGTTAACAGCATATTATTTTTCATATGAAATCCACGCTCACCTATCGAACTTATGAAACATTATCCTTTGTCTTCTAAAGCTTCCCTTTAAACTAATGGTTCGAGGCTTCCAATGTTCGAAACATATCTCAGTCTGGATTACAGACTTCACTAGTTGAACCTACATACATTACGTAAGCGTGAGCATTCACTTGACTTTGGCTTACCGATGTAGTAAGTAAGCAAATTTCACCCTTCATCCAACTATAAACTTGTTAGCGACCTCCTGTGGCGTTGCGGTGATAAGTTTTTCATCATGTTTAGGGACAGAACAGGCACATCTGAGTTATATACCAGTGGATAGTCGTTTTTGCTCTGTTCGACTAAATTATACAGTAAGGTCTCTGTACATGAACTTGCCGAATCTTCCTTACTTTAATACGTTTGTGTAATGAACTGTAAACTGAAATGGATGTGTCAGGTGTTGTTCACCAGGTCTGCGCGTTCTGCTAATCATTTCTGATGTGTTAGTGGTTACGGGAAAGCTTGTGCAGTTTCAGTTAGTTTACTCTCAATTTCTACAGACTAAGGTCACTTAAGTTGCAGTAGAAATGTCTGCCTTTCAAAAGGTGAATGTTGTACTTAACAGTTCGTTGCATATTCCTGTACTGTTGTGAGACTTGGCATTTTAATATAGAAGACGTGTTACAGTGGATCAGATAATATGTTTTCCATAAATATGTCAGGAATGCTGAGACTGCTGGAATGAGTGTGTTGAACAATTCGATAATTTCCCTACAGGGTGGATTCTTAAATCTAAATTTTATGACGAAAAGCATTGAACATCTAACGAAATGAATATATTAAGGAATTAAGACTTATTTATGTACAGAATATTTAGCTTAGTAAATATGATTTATTTGATCAAGAATAATAATGTAAGCTATAGAATAGGCAATCGTTCTTCACATTTGGCCATCATAGCATCATCAATGTATTTATGAGTAAATGTGAACATCAGTTGAAAGAAACAATCTAAACGACTTATAAAACGAGAATTTCTTCTCTAAAACTATTCATTCCTTTTTAAAATAACTTGAAAATTCCTATATCAACAGAAAGTAATCAGTTGGTTAGTTTTTGAAATAGTTAATAGTAAAAAAGAATTTCATTTATTAAGCGATTCACCTGATGGTACAATAGTCAATGATTGAATATCGAGAATTATTTAGTTGTATGATAAGCACTTGTTTTATTAGCTATGAGATATGTGAATTGTTTTGCTACTGAATTCTACTTTCTGCAAATAACTTAGTTTGCCATCTTGACATTGTTTTACAATTGTTCGCATGATGTAGTTTTCAAACTAAATAAATTACTTTCTCAATAATTCAACGGTTTTTGTAATTTAAAGACTGCTATTGGAAAGTTCCCGATCTTTGTGTCCAATTTGAAGACTACAAGAAACTAAGACTGTTTTTGCCATTCAAAATTAATTTACTGTCATGTTTATTCGTAAAAGGTTACTTTGGTAAAATAAAAGCAGTCGTAAATATCTCATTAATTTGATATCCTATCAAAGTTGAAATTCCTGAATTTTTGTATGGTAATGATGAAGTCGGTAACTGGAAGTTCTGCCACGACTCAAACCTTTGTTCATTTACAACGTTCATCTATATATGTTAATAAGTTTAAAACATTGCAGCCAGTTGCAACATAATATTATTGTTTACAAAAGAACTTCCGAACTATTCTGTTTGTTAATAAGTGAATACAATATAATGTTTTCTAAGCTGGGTGGTTTTATCATGGATGTTTTGCGGTTTCTCCGGACAACATCATTCTCACATATTTCACTTTTGAGAGCACAGCACCTCTAAAGTTCTCTTCTTGAGCTACAGATCATCATCTCAGAGGTGACCGTAATTATCATTTGGTATTTCTTACGTAATATCATTGGTACACTTTTGATATCTCTGACAAAAATATTCCTTTAATAAAACGTTTCAGATAAGTTAGATTTGGTATACGAGGTCCTATATCTCATATGTCACTTAAATTTGATGATTATATACAATGTAACTAGTGGAAAATATTTTGTTTAATTCCTGGATTACTATTGCATGATAAAGAACTGTACCTCCTGTTTTTACTTTTCCTCTGTGTGTATGCGCTTCTGTTCTATGTAATCTGTTTATGTATTCAGCTTCGAACCACACTTTGTGTAAGACCTACTCGAAAAAGGAGTCTTTTGACTAAAAACTACGGAGTCATCATTTCACATCGTTATTTGTCACCAGTAGTTTGGCGTAGATGATCGTTCACCTATTCATAGTTGAGAGAGCACAACAAATTTTACTCTGCATTTCTCTGACCAACTAGTATTTTAAATACCCATTTTATTCTTTTCTATAATTGTGCTAAAATTAAAACAAGCATTTAAAATTTGTGTATTTGACGTTTACTAACAATTAACTTATATTTTATACCGAAATCCTGGTGATACAATAAGTTGAACATAATTCATTTCATTTTACAGATTTCTTGATTTTAATGTTTCAATAATATTCCAATCAGTAGTAGTAGTAGTAGTAGTATGACTTTGATTGAAGCGATTTATTTATTTTTGTTGTTTTAAATAAATTATTTTTATATTTCAGTCCAGTAAATTTACAGCCTGTCTTACCGTCTCGTCGAAGGATTATACGTATTGTCGATCGCATCACCAAATCCTCATATTTTCAAAGAGCCGTTGATACAAAACTAGTTCAGCGTGGTATGGAACGTTTGTCAAACACACCAATTGTATTACAAGTTGAGGTATGTCCTTTTTCTCTGAACAAGATAGAGATAATGTAGATTATTAGAAGATTGACTTTAACATTCTCAGTTTTTTTTAATGTCACTCTATCAATTTATTAATTGTTGACTGACAAATATAGGATTGCAAAAAATTGTGCAATCTATACCTAATCAAGTGACACGTCAAAACAGAGAACCCTTAAGAATTCAATAATAACTGCCAAAAAGTCATGAAAATTTATCTAGGCTTCATCACTGTATATCACCAGTCATTATTCTCTACGATGTGTAATAATTAAAGCTGAAAAGTCTACAATTCAGTTTTCGTATTCTTGGATAGATCAACGATATTTTAGATGTATGCTTTCGTATTTTTTAATCTTTACCATAAACTCTGTTTAATTTTAGGATCACTTAGTTTTTTTCTGACACTTAAATTTTCACAAACAATTGTGACATAATATCGGTAGTTTTTTATTGTTATTCTTTACAATGCAATGGGCTGTACCGTACATTTCATACTTAATTGTAGTACCTTTACTTTTTGCTGTTGTATTTACTCACAGTTAATACATAAGATCTCATCTGACTGAAGTATTCGTCCTAATAATTGGTTTAACTTCATGTATATAGACTACCCTAACATTTAGCCAGGAAACTAGGCACTATATGTATGTATATATACCAACTGACTTTGTTTGAAGTAACTTTATACTGACCACTTCAAACTTTTAATAGATAGCTCAAATGACTCATATGTCATATATTTTAATGAGTTAGTTATTTGTAATTAGCGAACACAACAGAACAAACTACGTTATTAATTATTATCCGAGAAATCTCTATGATTAATTCTTTCATAATTTTACTCTCTTGTTTATACGGAAATTGTTATATCCTAGTGAAGGTTAAATTACGGGTATCTTCGGAGACCTATTGATGGACTGATATTATCTATATATTCTTATAGTATAATTATTCCGTAGCTAGATTATATATATCTATATTCCCTTTATTATAAGCTTCGTTTTGACCTATAGATTATGATTGTACGATTTACTGTCCTTACGTTATACTCAGTTTATTAATTACTGTCTCCCACGTTCACAGCCACCTTTGGCTATATTTTGTACGAGTGTTATTTTCCATTTTATGGTACATAGCGGTCTGTTTGGTTGATATATAAACCCAGTATGTTTGAAACAAATGATTCGCATAGTGGAGGCTGTCGGTGGCATTCTGGACTCAAGTGGACGGGCTAGGCGAGGAAATGACCAATAGGACGCTGGGCTGATCGGACCGAACGAAAGTCATTGGTATAGTACAAGAGCAAATAAGTCGTATTTTGATTGGCGAATAAATTACGTGGTAACTGGCAGGCCATAAAGCCACAGCAGAAACGTTTGTTATTTGTAAAGTACTTAACATGGAATCCATCCATTTTATGTAACGAACTTATATGTTATATGTGGAAATTATATTTGAAATAATCTCAGCGATTGAAATTTAAATAATTCCAGCTTTTCGTCCAGCTAACTTGTCTGGACTTCTTCAGGGTAATAATCAAAATCATCAAAGAAATATATAGATTTTTAACAATTAAAACCATAGTTTTATTATTTAAATTTCAATCGCTGAGATTATTTCAAATATAATTTTCACATATAATGACTTCTCTATACTCGTTGCCCAATTTCTGTCAAACTATTCGTTCTAATCTTGACGAATATTCATGTGAACTTATATGTTGTTGTTAGTTTATTTTATTATGAGGTATTTATCAATGTTCTCTCTAGTTGAGAGTGTAACATACGCTGTATTTATCATCTGAATATCACTTGGAGCATTTTGAATCTTTTATAAGCTTTCAGTTGTTATTTTACTTACAGAGGTAGTGTAGGAATTGACATGATTGTTTGTCGATCTACGTAACTACATTTCAAGGGCAACAGTTATTTAAGAATTTCAACAACTTGTCGAAGTCCATCTGTCTATTAAACATGAGCACATGATCGAAAACTTTGACATCAATTCGCCAAGAAACAAAAGTACGAGCTGGGCATTTTTCTTATTTGACTTTGTCTTCAAACTTGCATAAAATTCAAGTGAATACTCACATTTGTTTCTTAAATGTGTACTTCAGAAACAATCATATTTTTGTGACTAAAAAACTTAAAATCTTGAAATTTCAATTGTTTTGTAACAGTTAAGATTCTTCTCATACTAAACAGGATCTACGCGAAGTAGATAGATCGGTGACTATATATATTATATATATTATAAGACTAAAAATTCGAAAATAATATCTGCTCAAAATTTAAAATAATAAAAAGAACGAAAAACTAATAACACTAGTGCGTACAACTGTAACAGTAGTGATTTCAGTCATCTATAGCCATTTGACTTGATGCGTTACTCGATTGTGACAACAAACAGACTACAACTATATCGAGGACTATAACTGGGCAAATTTGTGACGTGGCCTAAACCATATAATCACTTTTCAATCTCATCTTAGAGAATGTAATCTGCTATGCTCATTTACATCACATCTTGTCGTGTACTTTACTACGCCAATCCTCTTCCCAATTTCTTGTTGTACAAATCTTGTGTTTATTTATATTGATCACAATATGCCACAGGTATTTTCATTTGATTTTAAATGTAATCAGATAAAAACTAAATTCTCCGATATGGTTCTGGTTTATCGTTATTATGTTTTTTTTGGTTTATCAATACCTAGATACAAATGTTAAGTGGTACGCTTTTAGTCAATATCCCTCCACCGCCCAGTGATCGTCTGTGGTATGGTTTTCGTCCTGTACCTAATATACGACTTAAAGCACGTCCTCGTGTTGGAGAAAAAGTTGTTACAATGTCACGTATATTGGAATGGATTGAAAAAAAAATGATTCTTGAATTCCAGGTGATAAAATTTATTTAGGCGTATTTTTCGTTCAGAGGTCATTGTTTATCTCCTAGTATCAGATTGTGTTCATTACTTGTTATTTTCGACCGAATATTTTATTCATTTATCCTATCCTGATCAGTAATTATGGGTAAACACCAAAAGAATTATGTTGAATGTAAAATCGCTGTCTAGCGGTGGAGTGTTAAAGAGCACAGTATAGTAAATTGTTCGCATCTACTGTTTCATGTTTGTTTTGAATGTAGGTTTTTTGAACAATATTTTGTGATATCGGCTTTTGAATATTCGTGGTAGAACTCCTTTATCCATCTCTTAGCTTTTAGCAGCTTTTTTTTAACGTGTCGAAACACTCAGCTCACTCGTTTGAATGTTCCCCCCCCCGAAGTGTATGATTTTAGGCCTTCGTGAATGAGTAGTCGGCTAATTTTACTGTACAATAAAGTGTTGGGATAAGCGTACCTGAAACTTCGAGTAGACATTGTTTATAGCAAATTAGTACGTCCCACTAATTGATTCTGTGAAACATAAGTCAACGACGTAGCAGCCGGTACAAATATTCATCAGTACAGATCTTAAGGATTCAGTTTTAGTCTCCGTTAGTTTCTATCAACAATTAACTCACGATTTTATTTATTTAAACATAAACACTGGTACAAAGAGGCACCATAATATATATGCACTACACAAAGAAGTTATTGAATTCGAGTTTGGACTCCGGTGCTGCTGAGGCAGGCAGCTTTCTTATGAAGCCACTCCGAGCGTTTAATTCAGAGGTCCAATTCATCTAACAATGGAACAACGATAAGAGATGCAGTTCTTTGCTAGCCGGTCACCAACATTAGGTTCATACGCTTTTTGCTCCCTCGAGATTCCTGGAGCCCACGTGCTGCATCGTTGGTTCGGAATTCACGGTTTTCTAACTCCCCTAGATGGATGTTCGTATCCACCAACCCGATTTGGCATTCGCTTTTCTTGCTCTTAATTTCGAAAATAACACCCCTGCTTTGAGAAAGCAGTGGCCATATGAGAGTATCCTGTGAGGTAGAGCAGAGGAGGGGCTACAGGAAGTAACGCGATTCTATATAGATAAAATGTCCATTTTTATATTTGTTACATAAAGCGTCTATCAAGCATTCACTTCAGTTAAATTAGTTATACTGTTGAATATATCCTAAACTTGGTAGAAATATTAGCAAAAAATTAAAATATTTGTAATTACTTGAATATAAAAAAATTACTGGAAAACTCAAATAAGAACTTTCACTTATTCAGGTATGATTGTTGACTACATATTCACAACCCATCTGTCTTTTTTTGTTGCCTAATAGCATTTAGTTGTTTTGCCGAATATGGATGATTTGAAAGTTGGGCTACTTTTATCCGATGCTACATCAGCAACATAAATAATCTGACACCAATTATATTCAATGATATCAAAACGGCTGAAGGATTAGCTTTTAATGATCCCTAATCACTATTACAAAGGGCTTCGATGAAAACTGATGTAATCTTATCATTCCTTGTCTTTTGCTTTTTCTGTTGCATACTTTGTCAGTATACTGTATTTTATACAAATGTATTCATGCTATCTTATATATTTTAGCTTATTAAATTCAAATTAATCTAAACGTGATTTCTTTTTGTCATATTTTCTATCCTCTCATTTTTTCGTAAATGTTCACATTTATTTGTCGCAGTGAATATGAAATGAAGCATACATAACCAATAATTTCTATTGGGAACAATTTAGTGTTGCCTCTTTTTGATATCTTGGGCAATTCTAACTGTAATCAGCAGTTGATTTCCGTTTTATACAGTTTTTGCGTTGTATCGAAAACTATGATGGATGAAGACTGGATATTATATATATATATACTCCAATTGTTGAATATTTATTCTTCACAGAATGTATTGACACTTTTGTTAAGTGGATTTAATACTTACAATATATTGAAAATGGGAACTTTTCTCTCACTTCATCTGTGGTTAGCAATTTTATTACTATTCTTCTGTTTCTATTTACCCAACTTTTTTTTCTTTTGAGTGCTTTGAAGAAATAGACTTGACTATTGTTCTCAGTGTGTACCGTTGCCATCTTCCTAGGTACTTTTAATACTGTAAAACACGATAATAGGCAGAAGGTATATACATTTATTGCGAGAAGTTACAAAGTATTTACATAATACATATAGCTTTCAATCGTCTATATGCATCTTCCGATGTGTTCTGCAATCTGAACTGTCTTCTCGGCTGACCTCCAGGTGTTCTGCAAACACCGTGCTTTTGATGCACTGAAACTCGGTCCGACAATTTTTACAACTTCGACGCCACATTCCGATAAACACTACTGACGAATATCCTTGTGAGTAGCGTCCACTACACTACAATCAATCTGTATGAATTAGAAGCATCAAGAACATGAGCAAAAATTGTAATGATTATTTGCAAGGGTTGGATTATTCAACGTCGTATCAACATCAGGGATGCTTCGATATATGTCAGTTATAGCAGTGAAATCCAAGACACTCATCTCCACTTGTTAGGGACTCTTCACCCGGAACTACCCGCTTTGTGTTGAAGGTGAACATCAACACCAGGATTTAGGCGCATCCAACGAATGGGTCTTAGGATAGAACGTCCGTCTTGAATTCCATTGCTAGTCATAATTCAAAATAATGTAATGTTATTCGGTAGTAAAACTCAAGGAAGTTATCACAGCTTTTCCATTGGGCTTGCACTTCAGACACTTTACACGTTTACCTTTCATTCGATATTATTAAACCATTAATTTGTTGCTACTTTATTTATCCCGGCTAACCTCAATCTCCATACCATAACACAGTTCCGGTTGTTTAAATGATTTCATCCGGATTTGCTGCCGTTGTCATTTCACAACAGCACCCCCGTGGTGTAATCAATAAATGATCGCTATCATTGTTCATAGTCAGACCTCACAAGTACTAACGCAGCAGGCACCGCTCTTTCTACAACCGACAGTAACACTCAAACATACAAATTCTCTCATCTGTTTCAGTAACCTAACGATTGAGTTTCTGAAGGCCTATAGCTTATCACTTCACACTAGTGAGACCGATCTCCATATTTTCCTGGAATTAAGGATATTTATACACATACACAAACTGACTTTCATATTTTTATGAAGGCAACAGTGTCCAGTATTCTTAAGATAACTGACCTCGCCTCTAAACCAAAGACTATGGTTCTTGTTATAAATAAACCATATGAAGGGAAAATATTCTAGACGCTTAGTACAGATTGTACGGAGTTATAGACAAGAAAGTGAAAAGTACATTGTTTACCAACAATCTCTCGAAGTGCGTTTGTATTTTTCTGTCGTCATATTTTACCACCAAATAACAGTAAACATTATTTTGAAACAAACTTAATAATAAATTTTGTTGGTTGGATCACTCGAAGGTAATTGATTTTCATTCCATAGACATCTAACACATTTGTAGGGACTTCTGAAAAGTCACACACCAACGTACATCTAGATTGTATACTACTTCAGACTAATTGTTTGTAGTATATAACGAAACTTAAGATACGTTGACCACGCTTAAAATCGATATCATTGTATACAAATTTGTTGTATTCTGATGAAGCATACTCAGCCTTTAAGAAATTGGTTTCGAACGAACTAGGTCACAGTATCATCAGATTATTTTATAAAAAAGGTTATGGAGTAATTGAACGACGAAAGACACGTTGTATTTACACGGCGTAAGGTAATACTGATGATTTTAGATATTACAAGTACGGAAGACATTATAGCCATTTAATGCTGTTGTAAATACTAGTCCTGGCATTTGTGGATGCCAGTGTACTTCCTTTAATTCTGTTTGACCACCATGAACAAATAACAATTGAACTGGTATGCCTAAATCTTCTTCATCTGCCTCATGATTTGAACTTGATTCATTCGACTGTTTTAATTCTTGTTCAGATTGTTCTAAACTAATGTCCCAGAATGTAGCTTGATCGTCTTCACATGTAGCTACAAACACTCCAGCGTCATTCGGATGCCATTCCACTGATGTGATTGGTTTCTTGTGGTACTACAAGACAAACCAAAATACATCATCTTAATATAATAATGACAACAACAATTGACACTGGGATTTTACAACAAAATAATTTAGTAGATATCAAAAGTAAACTTAACGTGATGGTAGCTAATGCGAATCCGTGTAAAAGAAATAAAACCGTGACTTTCCATGAGTGGATTAATAATACTTTTCAGACAGAATGTACAGTCTACTAGTGGAGAATGCATTATCTAAATTATGCTCATAAATGAATCAACCAATAATATTTACGTTAAACGCTTACCACGTAGACTCAATTCGGTCTACAGGCGGTCATATTCTGCTTAATTGTCAATCACGAAATTTTAATTTTTCTATAGACAAAAATGATTTTTCCACTGATTTCATTTGCTGCATTCCTTAATATCGTTTGAAACAAGTAACGATTAACTACACAGTTTACCTGTTTCGACTACACCTACGCCAAGACTGTGTTTCACGGTCATAGGACTAACTCAAGAAATCTACCTGCAGGCCATAAAAGTCATTGACTGTTAGACTAAGTCACGTCAGCATATACAGATGTAAGTGGGGGTTGTGTGGTCAGTGGTTGAGGACGTTGGGTCAAACAGCTCAAAACCATTCAGGACGACCCACATTTATTCATTATTTTTCTCTAAATCTTGGGTTTCAGTACTTTTTCATGCGCGCCTTTTTATTACTTATGCTCAAACCATATTCTTAATTTTATCGTAACTGCAATTCTTCCAACTTTTTTGCCATTCATCTTGTTACTCTTATCTTGTCGTGCTGAGAGAGTTAGGCTAACGTACGTTTGACTCTGGCTCTACGTTGATTAGATCTGAGTGCAACGAATTCACAGTTCTATCGTGTGATTTTATAACCTGATAATACAATTATCCCTCACAAAGTAATTGATTTATAGTATAACTCATGTACGTGGTATAAATTAAATCAATTCGTTTGACTGGAATGGTTTACATTGTGTCTCAAAAGAAGTTATTTGGAGTCAGTTAACACGGTTCGATTCCAACCGAAGCTCAGTCAGCAGTAAGAAACTAACATGAGGAACTTTATACGTTGACTACCTTGTATGTGTCACTAAAGAGCAAATTATACCTACGTGATAACTCTCTAGAAAATAATCACTTAGACTTAGTAATATACTAATATTATTTAAAACTCGGTTATATGCCAGAATTTACCCATCGCTTTACCGTTTAGTCTTTTACAAGTGACTATTAGATTATTTTTAACGATTCGCAAGTCAAAATGTCAGTCCTCTAATATCAACACACTATCTTAAAAATACAACATTATGTTTACCACACCGAAAATCCAATACAAGTTAAATGAGATAACAAAATTATTTAACTTACTGATTGCGACTATAACAGCTTATATTCGACATATACGTGGCTAGTTACCATTTTAAAAAGTTTATAATAGTGATACTTACATCAAATAAGTGCGTATAAGCAGGTACAGATCCATAGTTTGACTTTTTGCCACTGTAACAACTGTGAACTAATCGTAAATCCCATATTCTTAAAGTTCCATCATCTCCCCCCGTTAGCAAATTAAGAGCTTGCAACTTATTCCAAGAAGCAACATTTATATCAGCTGGATGGGCTTCTGGGACTGTGAGCATGCTTCCACTCGATATTGGTGCGCGAACATCCCAAACACGTATACTATGATCCGAAGAAACAGAGATAAATACAGTTGGTTCCGTAGGGGACCACTGAATATCTTCAACTGAATCTGTATGACCTAAATAAGCTCTATTTGATACAGCCCAGTCAGAAGACTGAGAAGTTAAAAAAATTGAAAAAAACAAAATAATGAACCATCATTCAACCACACATTAATATGACACAAACTACTAACATTAATGGACAAATTTTATATTTATCAAGTTGAAAAGTGATGAAGAATATCATTTCGAATACGAATCACTTACTGAAGAATATAAATACCATCTACGAATGGAGAGTAATTGAAATGGTGATAATATGGTAACATACTGATGTTAAGAACGTTCATGTTAGCAACTTTCAATATCACGAAGCTGTAGTCAGAGAATTACCTCCTTCAAAAGTAAGTATATACATTTAGGTTAACAGGGAGATCCTTACAGTGGAGTTATTCCAATTCAAAATAGAAATTTGAGATTCTAATTATTTATCGAATACTGGATCTGGAAATATCTTTTACCTTTGTTGGTTACTTTGACGCAATGTGCAGTTGGTGCATAAATAGCTGGAAATGTTGGAGACCCAGATAACACTGGTGTTCAAGTTTACAACCTAAAAAACATACTACAAATAACATCGAAGAACAACTGTTTCACATCGACACGGGTTTATCATTGATTTATGACCAAGTTTACATGAAAACTTAGTAACTAGAAAGTAAATGGTCTGTAATTAACAGGGATATTTCAAACATTTTCAGAGAATAATCAATAAAAGTATTAAACTAAAAATAATATACTCCCATCAAGATGTTCAATAAATGAATGTAGATCAACGAATTCACGTAGATTGGTATACAATATTATGAGGCAGATTAATTGTGTAAATTATAGTCGTACTATTTAGGTGTCCGGAGAGTAGTAACTGGATTAGGTTCGACCGTTAGGCATAATGGTTGATAACAGGATCACAACTCCCTACCAAGAATAAACTTGATATCAAAATTGTTGCTACTGTAAAAAACGTTTAAGCTGCAAAACTAAAGGTTAGTGAAGATGAAAATTGAACTTTATGGAATGATTTGAAACGTCGTCGGTTGAATGACACGACTAACTTACAGTACATGGCCTCTTAAACAAATCCCATCAAACTGTCCTTTGACGTGTTTGTTACCACAACGATTCTCAAAACAAATCGCTGTGTTGACAGTGTCAAGAACGTTTTTTGGTCTACACATATATCAGATAACTTATTATTAACTACACATAAAAAACAAAATTGTTTAAAAACGACTTATTGGCATGGATTATCATATCCAAACTGGGCATTTCATCCTGTTGTGGGTGATAAACTCCCAGTTTTAAGATATGAACATGCGTTGGTTGTTCACTCAAATGTTTCTATGATATTTTCTAATTTGTTATTTTTAAAGATAATTCCAATATTCTGGGATTTGTGTGGCCTTGATTAACTGCACACAAATATCTTTAAGGTCATAAAAACTGGTACAGTAAGGCATAAAGAAGAGGATGCGCTACGCAAAGCATAGACAAAATTGAGAGGAAAAAGGTTGTGCGTTTGACGAGAAAAAATAAATAAGTGAATAAAATAGTTAACGAAATAGTAATCAACAGGAGACATAGTTCAGTGAAAAATCCAAACGAGATAATTCAGAATTCTTTTAGTTTAAAAAGTTCGTCTCACATTTAAGAATATGAACTTAAACTATAGAAGGATCACCACTAGGTTCTGTTCCGGGAAATGGCTGATAATCTATTGAACTAACGGACACTTCAGAGCTGTGATGAACCAACAAATCTCACTTGTTGATTCTGAGTTTCCTTTTGTGTAAAACTTTACATTACATAACATTACATTACTTGCTAATAATCAGTAACCAGTTTCAACTATAATATCTTTTGACGTTAATGTGTCTTACAGTTGTGTAATATTTCATCTCCCTTCGCAGTTAGGACAGGATAGCGTCAAAACAATACGCAGTTCCTTTCTACCACACTTGATCGATAGCGGTCATGAATTAGATAAAAATAAGTCACTCAGAGAGATTTACCATATTCTTACTAGTTTTCCTTATGGGGTTCGATCACGTTCCTTACACATAGCAGAAGCCATGGGGGATTCGAGCTAACAAACCTCTGTATTTATAAGAAATCAGTAACACCGTTATATTTTCCTTGGTCGAATTAGCCATAACAAGAGATTTTACTTATTGTTGTTTTCTATACTCCTTATTCGCTTAGTTTTCTTTACTCCCTTTTTTTCTTCAAATATACACTTCATTGTCCGATTATCTGAACACTTCTTATTATGTAGTCTTATAACTCTCAGTGAATGTTATTTCAGTGTATATATTTTCCAAGTTATTGATCTATTTCCTATAATGAAACACTGACTCAAACCTTTGTTATTCTTATCATCACACTATCAATTTGTACTTTGTTTTTTATTACATTTGTTTGTGCCTATCTATTCCACTGTTATCACTTATAAACCACCTTAATTGGTTTAATAATTTCGCAAATGTACATAAATATTACCATATATTAGAGCATGTCCTGATGAGGATCTAATTGAAAGAAATATTGTTCGCTTATATATGTTGTTTCAATAATCCAAGTATTTATACGAACTAATAAACTTCAATTTATCTATCACTGTCATTGCATATTCTTTACATTCATAACACTTGTTTCCAATTCTAGTGTACTCATTGAACATTTATTTTATTGTAACAGTTTCCACTCTAGCGCTCTTCATTCCCATTTTAGATTGTTGTCTACCTTTGTAGTTTCGACACAGCTATTCGTTATCAAATAGTTTATCCTATGTTGTTGTAAGTAACCTTTATATATCCATTTTAGGAAGCATCCTTATCTGATTTATACTAATACGATAGATTCTGTAGACAACTCACGTATTCTGCTTTGTAATGCATGCTCGCCATATATTTTCATAATCACAGTACCATATTCAAGATTATTTTGCGTTTTTGATTGCCACATTTTACGCATCTCTTAATCGTGTGGTTAGAAGCTTTAGTCCAGTCCTATACAAATTTCTTTCATATCACGGCACGATTTCATTCAGTGAACAACTCCCAGCTTTTCACAACCAGTCCCACAGTTGGTAAATCCTGCACAATGTGAAAGTCACAGGGATGACATTCGTAAAAATATCCCAAGTCTAGATTTCAGGATGTTGACATCAATTGAGTTATCGCCACTGTGCCTGAACACGTATTGATGAACTTCTGGGTTACCAAAATGGTGTAGCCAATGAATGTAAGCAATCCTTGAGAGACAAAAACGATCGAATACAAAGTCGCCGAAAATTCTAAACTCAGAGAGGTTAGTTTTTGCAAGCATGGAGCTGCTGTCAAAAACGCCTAAAAGACGTGACGTTTTGCAGCTACACTAACAGCACGGCGGAGCTAAGAGGAAGCCAAATCTGCATAACCTGCTCCAGTTTTCACTATGCGTAGATTGATCTCATCAACCATACCACCGCCAACACACATAACTAGAAAGGTCATCGTAGTCCAACAACCAAAAAATTAAGAAACGTTTTTTTGTTTGCAACAAATTACAAATTAACAAAGATGCCATGTATATGTTTTATTAATCTGGGAGTCGCACTAATGTACTAAGAGGACAGAAAAAGTAGTGGAAATAAAGCTTCTACTCAAAAGATGAAGCCACAGAGCTACAATCCTACCTGAAACCTCACTTAGAGAATTCTCTCTTTTATATGTTGATTGTATTCCCACATTAGCCTCTTAAAATTATTCAGGTAACAACAAAGTATTCGAGTTTAAAAATCATGGGATTCAAAGTATTGGATTATACAGAAATAGCGTGTGTATATCCGCCCCCAATGCCTTGGTACGGCCGAGAGTGGAGAGAGTCAGCTCTCCCTCTCGAAATGCTCTCACATGGCTACGTGCATACAACTACTGCCAAGGAAGTCCAACTCACTGCCTTCTCGTGGCGGGGATGTTGTTTACGGAACTGTGAGAACGAAAAGCAAATGTTCGGAACTTTAACCGGGGTGGTTATGTGGAGCATATATGTTTGGTACCTCCTTGTATCAATCTTTATGTGTTTAAAAAAATGAATAAATAAATAATCTACCTACAGTTTCGTAAAACTAACTTGAATAGAAACTTAAAATTCAAAAATGTCGATAAATATAAACAGCATTATTGATGATAATAACTTCAACCCTTACATTGATATAACCACATCCTAGCAAAGTTATTCATGGATAACGAACGACTGCTAATAATAAAAAGTGAGGACCCTACTTACTCTAGGTGTCCAGTGATAAATACGACCATTACAATCTCCTGTAGCTAAATGTCCAGAAGAATTCGTATGAGTACCCCAGTCCAAAGCGAAACCTTCTGAACCATGACCATTAAATGTGAATAAGGGTGAAGGAGATTCATTGTGACGTACATAATCAGCCATGACAGCTGAATCATTTACAGCTGTAAGGGGTCTGGTTAAATCCCATATGAATACCTAAACGAGAGAAAATGATTGTGGTTAAGAAGTAAAGAAAAATAAACTTTACGTCATCCAGCTACCTTTACAAGCAACTTCTTTATATATATATATATATATATATATATATATATATATATATATATATATATCACAAAAAATATGCACAAGGGAATCGAGCAGGATTTTCTAGTAGGTTTATTTAACTAATTTGTCAAAAACTACTTACAGTACCACTAATTCAGTTCATTAGTTCAGACGATTAGAACGGTAATAATGCAACATAGTAATGAAGAGTAATATACATATCAACAAATCATGAAGATTAAAATCCATGGGTATAACTGATATGGAGAGTAACAAAAAAACAGGCTTGTGAAAGAAAACTGACAATCAGCTGGTAGACTTTGAGTTAAGGTTGTAATTAAACATCTTATTTTTGCTTGTTGCCAGTTGGATTATTTGAGGTGGCTTTGAACATTGTGATCACATACGATTTATGAACATTTCGGCAATTATTTTAATTTCTCTCTTAAAAATTGTTAGTCTCTCATATAAACTTGGAAAGTGTGATGAGAAGACGGGGTTCATTTGAAAAATATGATGTCTTTGCGTAAAACATTTTGAAAAATCTAGTCACACATACTTGTCAAAGCATTTTATATAAAAATTTGAAATTAGTTAAATAAACGTCCGCTTAACATAAAATGATAGCTAGAAATAAAGGGAAAAAAATTATCTGATATGAAAAGAACAAGTTGTCGAACCAACCTTAACCTTAAAAAGAATTAGGTTACCAAGGCAGATTTCAGATCAAGACAAACTGTTTCTGTACACATAAAAGTTTGCATATTTTAATAAACAAAGTTGTTACAAACTCAAGAATGAGCTCTAGATAATTTCTATTAACAGCGTTAATAGCTGTTTTAAGGTCGATTCCTAAGACCCGTTTTAGCTGTTTTGCAATTGACGAGCATGGTCCTCAACTCCCTGCGTCCATCCACGCATTTGAGACCGACTGATCATTAGGCTACTTAGGCACAAATTTCATCACCTTTGATTGTAACATTCGACTACTTCCAATGTGGCCGCAAATACGTGAGTTCATACATACAGCGGGACGTGACGTGCATACAGTTTTTAGGCCTATGTGAAAGCATGGGTTTTGTCTTTCTGATAACTAATTCTGCACCATAATGTTTTTCGATGGCTGGTTTTAGCCTCAGCTTTGGAATTATACTATTTAATTCTCCTCTATAAGGCAATGTTACATGAACCCTTTTTGAAACAGAATCAAGAGTGGTTTCCAGTGTTAACTAGCTTTTACAGATACCCGTTTAATTATGTTTATTACCACTCAACATATAACACCGAAACTTTTGATATCGTTGGTACGTAAAATGAGATTCTGGGAAGATAGTGTTGTGATTTACTTAAAACCAACAAATATTTTTCAGATCGAAAGATTATTTGAAAACTCATACTCATAAATGGCAAACTGATTGCTGGGTAAACAACAATACTATGTAACTAAAAAAGCTCCTCCGTCAAAGGTTTTTGGATTAGTATTTAGCATAAACGGGAAAAGTAAACATGCTTAATAAATGAAGTCTTTATATTGATGCACATGAGTGACAATAAAATTATAAATGTATATCCTTTTCAACACCGAAGATGATTCAAGCAGTAAACTGTCTAATACTTCAGTTTATTATTTACCTCAATTTAGGCACTCGGATAGTATCGCTGGCCTGTATATCATAAGTGACTTACGGTTGAGTACATAAACTTAAGTTCAGTAAATTAGTTGTCTACATATTTTGTTCAAATCTGTCAAGCTTGAAATAAGATCACAAATAGAATGACAACAAACTCCAATATTTTTGGGAAAATTGAACTAAACAAGTTAAAGGTGGTAATCAGAATTGTTAGAATTACTTCGATACATAGAAGCTGAAGGAGTACCCAGTCAAAAAACAAAACGTTTCGTACAACCGATAACAACTCAGTGCCATGACTGACTACTGTTAATAATTGTAGTTGAGCTAGGAGAAGAGTATACAATTAATTGACTGATGGACTAAATGATATCAATTGTATTATACTAATAAGTTCTATCAAGCATAATGACAGCTACGTATGTGCTTTTACTGGCTTTTTATTTAAGGAGACAACACGAGAACGAGTAAACTTAGTTGTATATTTACTGAATAACCATACTGCAATATTATGCTAAATAAAAACATTAAAACTCAAAATGCTAACCAATCCATTTTCTGACCAGGATGCAGCAAGGTATCGACCTCTATGTTGTCTGGCCCGGACTCGATTAACTGTACCTTGATGTAAGATAGTAGCCGCCTCAACATCAGGTTCCGCATCAAGATCTCCTTCAGAATCACTTTCGTCCTCTGAATCAGAATCCGTGTCTCCATTAGAATCCTGTGGGTGCCAAATAAATAAGATAAAATGACTATAGTAGTATTTTAAGAGTAAACAAATTGATACATACTAATGTTTCACGACTGCGAATTCAATACTGAACGAGACTGCTTTTGTCCTCTTCTCTGTCCCACTTACTGGGGTGAAAAGACCAGCTTAGTGACTGAGACCTGTTCAGGATGACTCCAGGATATCAATTGAAAATACGTTTAAGTTAATCGATCACAACGTGTACATTTGTTATCGAACAAAAATCATACTAAAAATATCCGTGAGCAGAGGTCACATTGAATAATTTACTGTCACAAAAATTCATCTAAACCGACATCGATTTCCTTTCCCATAAGTTACACTAGGGGAATGAACATTCCTAACACGAATTTCGGAAAACAACCATCTTATGCTTACAATGAAACAAAAAGAAATGAAATCAAGAAAACCAGCCAAGATGTTTATATGTATCGAAATATTGGTTTTATTAACATACATAAATGCTTAGGTACGGGAGGAAAGGAGTCAACCAAACGTAAGTAGATAGTGAAGGAATTCACATTACTGTTTTCAAATATAGTCAGTGACTGGGCAAACTGGTGAGATTATTTCCGCAATCAGTTATCAACGTATATTCACAAATCGATATAAATTTATGCAATCTAATATGTTAAAAGGACATCTACTCAAATACATAGAACAGAAAGCCTGTTTGTTCTGCAGGTGATGAAACTGAAATAATCCCCCAAACATAGGTAGAACAGCATTGTGTTAAGGTATTATCGTATGGAATTAGCGCGGAAAGTCTATAACAATCATGGAAGTTGTAGATTTATCATTAAACTGCAACAGAAAACCACATAGTTACTGACACAAACATTATAATATCTGGGTTTTAAAAATATCTACCAAACAAAATTGAGAGCACAAAGACAACAGGTGCATTCAAATCGGGAACGACACTAGGGATATACACTAAGCTACTATCAAATCTAATTGTTGGTCCACCAGACTAAAATAAGTGCTTACTTTATAAACATGGTTCGCTATGTATTGTAGGAATAACAGACATTTGCTCTCCACTTTATCTTCTGATATCTCAGCTTTAAGTGAAAACACAAATCGTCAAGTCCCCATATCGACTATACCACCAGTTATCAAAGAATGATAGATATAGATAAACTGTACGTCAAATAGGACATGTAACTAAAATTTCTTGGCACGGTACGCACTTAGTTTAATAACAAAATGACTTCCCTGATTGGTTTGCAATCTGCTTACTAACAAGTTTTTTTCATCACTTTTTTTTCATTAACCCTATCAAGAAATTTTTGCCCACCAGTTTCCAGACACCTAATCAACTGCCATATATTAAATAATAAGCCAAGAATTGTCAAAAACAGTAAGCGGTAAAAAGGTAATGGTGAATATTCCTACTGACTAGCTATAAACTTCGACCTTCACTCCAAGCAAATGACTGGGTTGTGAAGGGATATGTAAACTGCAAATTAATAAACACTGACAACGAACTGTCTGAAAGAGTATTCGAAAACTGAAGGATGAAACTAACAAACCGGACTTCCAGAAATGCACTAGATATTGAACTTGCTGTGGCTATATTAAACCATACTACTACAGCACTCAAAATTTAGTCCGCAGATATCAGTTACCTAGGGGGAAATTAAAATGGCAAAGCAGTGCCACCGTGGCACTACAGATTTGAATACTATTCCAATTCGAAATGTGGTTTAAGTTGGCCAGAGGAAAGAAACTTAGGTTCCAAAACACCAGGAAGTTCAACGATGATTAAAAACTATACGTATTTCTCACTTTATTACGGTCGTTTCCTAAAGGTTAGAGCAGGAATCTACCGTGCAACTTTCACTCCTTATATTTTCAGTGAGCGAACTAATATAACAAATGGGCACTACATAGCATCACTAACAAGACCCATAATTGATTTACATCGGAATGATTCAGTCTTTTACTACACCAGTTGAGGCAATTCGGATGTTTGAACCCAATCTTAAGTTATCAAGGTCCTTAACGGAACGAAAGTAAATTGATCGCTAGACTTAGTATTTATCATTTTAGTCTTGAATGCAACAAACCTTTCTTTTGAACGGCAACATATTGGACAGACGCATGATTACAAGTTTGTTTTGATTATCTTTAGGTGCCTCAGTACCCGATATGAGGCAAACACTGTGAGCCTCACCATTAACTTCAACACAGCGATCAAAACCAAGGTTATCCGTTAGAATATCAAAACTGAGACTTGGAGACTCCACTTCTAATTCGAAAAACATTCTATAAGCACTTTTATCCATAACTAGCTCTTCGTCATCCTCAAGTGGACGAGATCGACCGAGAATGTAAACCTCATGTTTGTATTCCAACCCATCTACTTCCATCAATTCATTATTCTCCTTCGTCTTTGATTTTTTGCAACATTTTTTCCCTTCCCGATCGCTCTCTGAAGACCCTTCACTGGAATTACAACTCATCACGAGATCAGGCTTGAAAGTCGCACGACTTTTCAAGGTCCATCCAATATTCAATATCTTCGTGACCGACCAATGTAAATCAAGTAATTTCCTTGAGTTAGCTTTCTGCTTCTTCGGTACGGTTCTAGGTATTTTGTGGCGCATAATTCAGAGGAGACTAGTTACTCGAATGCTCTAATCCTAGTCAGTTTGGTAGTTATATGTAGGTTTTCATATTTTGTAATTTGAGTGAATGAACTAGTCACAGGGTTGTAGGGGTTCTGGAACCAGTAGCTATTCTATTATCGAGAAGCAAGCTATTTAGCTGCAGAGTGAAGAGTAATAAAAAGGGGAACTATCCAACAAACGTGGCAAGCAAGATAAAAAAAAGAAGTGTTAGGATGACATGCAAAGGGAAATGATAGGAAACAAGATAGGAATATGCTGATGATAAGGAGTGATAATGCTGGCGGAAAGGCTGTGATATATTCATCGGTTTCGATTAATCTAAGCAAGGGATGGTAATCTATGGTTGGGTACATTAATGTTAAGCCTTTTGGAGCTATCCTATGGTTAATTGCCCAACATCGTAATCCGTGTCGTTAGTTCAGAAGGAATTTTCACTGGAAAATATGCTTTTTGTTTCACGTGATTCTACATGGTCATCGATTAACATTTGACTGGTTAAGTTTCAGCAGATTGACCACTGCTTGTCTCGACTGAGAACTCCAGTCAGTCTTCTCCGAATCCCACGTACATTCAAGTCTTCGCGTCATCAGCACAGATGAAGGACTCCAAGCTAGTATGATTTGAAAGTTCATGAATAAAAATCACGAAAAGGAGTGGTCTTGAAACAGTTCCCTGTGAAATTATTTGTCTAAAGACTTCTGTTTATTGCATTCAGCTTGGTGAAGAAATTTTGGATTTTCTCTGAGTGAGCGAAACACGTTTCCTAGACTTTCAATATGGAAAGTTAATGTAGCAGCGTATCGAGAGCTTCTTCGAAAAAGAGAACCATTACACGGACCGTTATGTTTGGTCATAGTATGTTGTTTAGTGTCTCAAACCAAGATATTACTGAACATGCATGGACGGCTTTTCTGAAACCATGATAGGTTTCACGAGTGATGTCATTCGTGTCTACATATTCCCACACTTCGTTATTAAGCAGCCCTACCATGAATGACGCGGTCGTTATGCAACAAAACTAGATGGAAAAAAGCCTGTTTTCTTTGTGATGATTAGAAGTATTTGAGTTATTATACGAATTAGGAATCCCAAAAATAACGCACTTAAGGCTATATGGAACAAAGTGAGCACGAACGAACGTAATGTATGTGGAATTCAAACCCAGACACACACCAAGTACGAAGGAATCACTGGTTCATACAAACTGCTGAAATTCTAGTGAATGCCTCGGCAAGTCACACATTGGTGTACTGGTAGACAGGATTGTCAGGTAGCTACTGTTTACCGACGACTATCTTGCACTCAAGATTTTTGATTTTTCGTACTATCAGAATGGGCATGCCCTAGACTGTCATCTGGTTGTGGGGTGACGAAGCGTCCCGTGTACCATGTCTCTGAATACACTGAGTGATGAATTTAGGACAAAAGAATTTTGTTATTACTAAAAAAATTATTTCTTCACCGTAAAGCCATTTCAGTGTACATGTTTGTAGCATCCAAACTACGGTTTGGATAAAAGAATAGCCGTCCGGCTATGTTAGACAGGCGCCCTTTCCCGTCGAAACCAAAACAAGTAATCGGGTAAATAGCGGTTCTATAATTCATCATAAATTTAAATGTAAATCGTTGCCTAAACAAATATTACCACCCGGCTATTCAACCAATAATTGTTCAATCAATCAAATCTAAATTACAATAAATAAAGAAGTTGATAGAAGATGAGGGAAAATTACCAGTCACAACAAATGAACGTTATTCTATCCTGACTGGATAGAACACACACAAAAGGAGGAGCAAATCAATATGGCTGCCGCCAAGAACAAGTGTCAAGTAAAACAGCACAGATGCAGTTCAGGAAGAAACACAAACTTAGTGAATGAGTAAGAAAAACAGAAACTATAATAAAAAATACAAGTATTAACAATTCAAATGTAATCAAAAGACAACAGTGCACAACTAAGGGGATCAATAAGAACAAAGTGCAAGTATACACATGGAGGGATTTTCACCAACACACAAAACATTCAAAATGGATCTTACAATGTTCATTTGTTTACATGTTCTCATTTAATAATTAAATTATGGTGGCACTTCATATTGGCTTGTGTTTTAGTACCTCATTTGGTTTGTAAATGCATTTCGTAGCCCCATACTCCATCTATTGAGCAATGACAACTAAGGTATGTTAACAGAATCTTACAAATAAACTTCTCCGCTTATTGGAGATCCCACGCCTTGTCTGATACAGGCGTTCCGTTCCTCATTTCAGCCAGGATCCAACCCCCCTAGAAGACTTTTTAGCTTAGCTGATGTGTTACAACTAATCATCGCCTATTTGTCAGTTAATGAGATCGGAAAACGTCTTCGACATTTTGATCTGAAAGTGAATTATATGATAAAAGAAGCGAGTGAAGTGATGGAGGCATAAACTATAAATGCAGCAATACATAACTGAGTAAAGGAAATAAGGCAATTCAGTGCTTACGTGGAATGTTTTTATCACTACATTACTCATGCAACTTCATTATTGATAGGACTATTGTTTAACTAATGACGACTGGAAACAATGGAACTGATATACTAAGAACTCCTAGAATAGTCCCATTTAAGCCAGATAGAACTCCATGAGTACTAATGAACGTATCATATCTGGAATCCAAAATAAGTGCGGAACAATGCAAAAAGAAATCACTGCATACAGGTATAACACTGACATACTGATAAAATGTTATTTTTATACAGTAAAAAATACTTGTGTTTTACTGAATGAAAATTGCACATATTATTAACTTATTCGCCTTTTGAATATAAACATTACAATTCTTGAGATTGCTCATCCTTTTGTTATCGAGTTCTACTTCACTAATGAGATAACTAACCGAAACTGTGCTGTCAAAATCAATGCTAGTAAGATTTTTGCTAAATTGTCTAAGTTGCAAACTTAAGGAAAACTACCCAAGTATAGAGAATCTCACGCCAGGAATTGTATCTTTATTTGTCGTGGTGATGAATACTCTTGAATATAAGATAATCAAATACGACAATAACACGATTTTAGCAAAAATTATCAAATGGGAGGCTTTGTTACGCAACAATAATATCAGTAGGATATGTATTAAAAAGCAGAACTGATTTCCGCTACATTTAGAATTAAGCAGTCCTATTTTTATTTTTGCAGTCATCTTTACATATTGCGGCTATTCAGAATGAGCTGTCCACATTGCCATATGAATGACTAAGGACGACTTTAAATCTCTGGTTCATATACAATTTCACACCAGATATTTTATTACAAATCCCAAAATTGTTATACTGGCATACAATCTTTTACTGTTAGTCGAAGCTTCTTTCATTCAATAGGGAAAGATTTTGATTGAATCAAGTTCAATAATTACGGAGTACTAATTATTTTATCATTTGATTCCAGGCAACTGTCATCTGAGAATTTATCACAGATGAAAAACGAACGAGTCAAAATCGTACTATAATATCATTTATTCTGATCATGAATACTTGAACTTTGCAGGAGAAACAGAGAGGTTAGTGGTTTTAGAGGACAAAACACGATATATAACGATTACAAAAAATTGGAATTAATGGTTTCTTTTAGGTTAATTACGATTACTATAAAACACAAGTCATTATTGAATGAAAGTAGGTGTGAGTTTAAGAGTTAAATAAAACAATCTGTCAATATTGCATAACTTACATCTATTTAGTTAGACAGAAAAACTACCATTTGAAAACTTCTACATATATAGGCAATCAATAAACAAATTGGAGAAAGGTTTTTGTATTTAAACCACATTAAGTATTACGGGAAAAATTGAAGAAATAAACCAATAATTAGGAGAACATGCATAATTTCGAGTAAAACTTCAACTACTTTCTAGATACAGCGAAGATAATATACAAATGAGGAAGATGAAGTTAATCGAAAAAGGAAGCAAAGCAACATTATACTAACTCGTATGGTCAGAAATTAAGAAGTACAGTGAATTTTGGAGTATACAAAACGTCTAACACACTATCAACCTTTTTTTTCTGTAGAACTGTACTTAATACAGTGTTTATGTTGAAATTGATATTGCCTAAGAAAAATAGACCTTAGGCACTGATCAAACAATTTAAAATTTGGGTAAAAAAGAACCTAATTTTGAGGATTATGAATATGTAGAAACGTTCACAACCAATCAGTGCTGAAAAAATATACTAAAAGTAAAATTCACGACAGAATTAGCCACATTGCACTTATTATCATGTAAACAACGATACTGAAATTGATTGCAAAATTTCAATGATATTTTTACAGTTCGACACTTAGGATATTAACCCCATATTAAATCAGATTTTACTAATATTATTCATCTCTCAATAAGAATGAAATGATCAAATGTGAAAGTAAATTTTTAGACAAAATGTTTATTTTATTCTTCAAACTGCTGGTTGTAGTCCCAAATGTTGAAGTTGTGCACGTAAATTAACTCGCTGATCATTCAACTCAGCAAGTTCACCTTGCATTTCATTATTTAAACGAAGTAAGGTATGATTGACCGATTTGGCTTCCCGAATAAGTGAAGACAAAAGACGACGTCGACGACTACTAGATAATTCAGATAAAAACGTTTTTCGATGGCCAGTGACTGCAGATAGTAATTGGATCGGATCAATATATCTAATTAGAAGATGAAGGAGGAAGTTAATCGTAATAGAGAAGTTAAGAAGAAACGGTTTTTAAAATGGGACTTTAAATTATGTATGGGAAAAATTCTGTGTGGGAGATGGGATATTTGATATTATGTTTGTAAAGAATACAGATTATTTGGTCATTT